AAAAAATGTAAAATAGTGTAAAACTTTTTTGATGTAACTTGATCCCTCTCATACATACATATATATATATATATGTGTGTGTATATATATAAATATATATATATAATGGTATACTTAGGAGAACTTAATCTATTGGCATCTATAAATTAATAATTTAATATTTATACTTATCTCATCTTTATTATAAATTTATAATTGAATAGATACAATTGAATTATCATACTTTTTATCTCTAAAAATACAACACATAAATTTTCAAAAGAAATTAAAGTGAAACAATTGTTATGTACTAAAACAAATACCATATTTATTTGATTAGTAAACTTTCAATCAAAATTAGTATTTAATTGATCTAATTAAGAAAATTGTCGAAATGTTTTAAATCAACTTACAGTTATAAGGAAAAAATAATTGAAAATGAAAATCATTTATTTATTTTAAGGTTTCATTGTTTTCTTCAAAATTAAAAAGTTGTCCAAAAATATTTTTTAGAGACAATTTTTTATTGACACTTTTTGGAGATATTAGAACTTAAAATTTTAACAAATTTAATATAATTTAACTGGATAAGAAAAAGGAATTGTTTTGAACACTTATTTGGCAATATATTTTTAGTATATGCAATTGTATGAATTGAAATATAAACATTAGAATAAAAATATTGTAAAAAAAAAAAGAAAGTGCATGCTAAAATTTTGAATATAAAATTATATTGAATCAATGTTTTTGAATTATTTTGTGAAAATAAGTATGTCACTTTGCTTAAAACTTGTACAACTTATCTTGTTATATATCATAAAATTGAAAATAAAGAGTTACTTTTGTCTTTTAACAATTTTCATTATAATAAAATTGATTTAATTCTTTATTATGTATCACGTTGGATATTAAATAGAAAATTATCTGAGTTATTATTTTTAAATTTTTTAAATCATCAAACAATGATGCATATATTAAAAAATACACGTTAAACACTTTACATATTTTTTATTTAATTCTTTTTGTTCAATAGTAATTGAATTAACCATGAGCAAATAGTTGACCATGATAAAATTGTTAACAAAAGGCATCCATTCATGGCATAAGTGAAAGCAATTAACATCTTAATTTAAAAATTATGCTGTTGTACCAAAAAAATTATGATATTGATTCATGTAAGACAAATTAAAAAATATATATATAATAAAATAAAATCACATATGTTAAACATAAATAAACATTATATTTGAAAAATTTACAAATGAAAGCCAAAATCATAAAGCGAAAGTAAAAAAACTTTATGTCTACTTTCCAATTTCATAGAATGTGAGATTTTTATCTTGTTATATTATAAAAATTTTAGACTCAATATTTTGAAATTAAAGAGAGATTCATGCCGGTATGAAATTCAAGCTAATAAAAATGTAAATAACTTAAGATCATTAAGAATGAATAAATTATAAATGGAGTTTAATTGAATGTGTATAAAATATAAACAAAAAAGAAATAATACCAAAAATGATAAAGTAAAAACATTTATTAGTTGAAAAGTAAACAAAAGAGAAATAATACCTAAAGTAAAAACAATACATTTTTATTGTTAACAGTGATCTAAAAACTAGATCAAACTAAAAATAACTAAAAATAAAAATCATCGGTTCCTGTGTAAAAGATTCAATGAAATTTTTTTAATAGAGATTTACCTAATCACAACTCAACATATACATTTTGAGAACCTTTGAACAATCTTAGTATAAGATGATTCTTTATTTATAATAAGGAAGCTTCTAAAAATTTTGGAGTAATTTATGCAAATCAATTATAATAGGTTATTTAATTATTAGCATGTTTTCAGCTTTTATTTTGAGCGGTCTGTATTTTATATTTTAAAAACTTTGATTATGAGTAAATTATGTTTTCAAATTAAGATGTTTTGTATGGTAATTAATCACCTTTAATATGATTCTTAAAAAAGACACCTACATATTATATACTGTAAAATTTGTTTAAAAATAATTAAACTTTTATTTTTATTTAAATTCTTGATACTAAATGTTTTATATATCTATTTAGACTCATAGATTACCTTATTAAATACCAAAGTTACATTCATTAGTCGGAAAGTCAATATAAAAAACGATGGATTGACAATGAAAAACTATTCATATCTCAAAAAGTCGAATTGGATAATGAAAAATTAATATTTTTCTCACAAATGTAATTCAAAGTTGAATATTTATAATTGAAAAATGTCTTAACAAAATTACTCAATATATTAATGATGTCAATTAAACTTTTATTTCCTTCTTTATCAATTTAATTGAAAATGATTTAAGACAAATAAAAATAAATTTATTTAATTTAGTTTTTTTAATTATTAAAATGTATTTAATAGAGAACATATAACAATTTTTTTAGATTGTCCACATGTCAAAAATTATAGATTATCCATATCAGATTATTTTCTTTTTATTAGAGGTTTTGATTTTTATATATTTATATAAGATATTAACGATGGCAATTAAACTTTTATTACCTTCTTTGTCAATTTAATTGAGAATGATTTAAGACAAATAAAAATAAATTTATTAATTTAGTTTTTTTGAATTATTGAAATACATTTATTAAAAAATATATGTCAATTTTTTAGATTGTACATATGTCAAAAATATAAATTATCCACATCAAATTATTTTTTTTTTATTAGAGGTTTTAACTTTTATATATTTATATAAGAGATATAGCGAATGAAAATTTAGAATGGCATTTAAAAGGTATCTATTGCAATCTTCCCCATATTTTGTTAAAAAATGTAATAAGATAGAAGAGACATCATTATATAAACACCAAATATCTGTTTTTTTTTTTTTTTTTACAAAAGATGTCTTAATTTGAGAATAAAAAAATTATAAATGTTAAAATTAAATTTCAAAATTTTAAAATATTATTTCTCAAAAGTAGTTGCATGAATTAATGTATTAAGCTACGAGTTTATTTCTGTCCATTTTTTTTCCAGACAGAAACAGAAACTCTCTGGTGGGAACAAAGACTTAAAATAGCAATAGATTCAGCACAAGGTGAGAAATGTTCAGCTTTATATTTCCCCTTTTCTTTCTCCTTATTTTTCATTTTTGAACACGACAAACAAGGCAAACAAGGACACATTATATTTTTCTGTTTCAAAATTTAATTTAGTCAATGTGACTTGACTTGATCTCTTGAATGAAGGTTTGGAGTATCTTCATGATGGCATTAAGCCACCTGTAATCCATTGAGACGTGAAATGTAGTAGCAACATTTTAATGGATGGACAGTTTCATGCCAAACTTTGAGATTTTGGGTTGTCAAAAATGATGTTTATAGCTTTGGGGTTGTTCTCTTGGAGATGATAACAGGGCAATCAGCAAAATCATTCACAGAAACAATCAAAACATCCTGGTTAAGTGGGTGATGCCAATGCTTGAAAGAGGAGATATTCAAAACATTATTGAATGGAAAGCTGTGGACTTAGGAATGACTTGTGTATCAAGCAATCCAAAAGCAAGACCTAACAAGAGCAATATAGTGATGGATCTGAAAGCATGTCTGGATATGCAGATGGCATGGTTCAAGAATGAGGAAACAGGATCAGCAAAATCTATTGAGCTAATTCCTCTGAATATTGGAACAGGATCTGGTCCCAGTGTGAGATAGTAACATCGTTACTAGAACCAATTAATGTCACACAGTTTAATGGATGTTCTTGTTGCTTCGTCTGTTTCCTTGTTTGATCCTACAAGTTTCAGTTTTTTGCATCTTTAATTTTGAATATAAAGTATAACCCAATAATTATTAGAAAGCAAGAAATTATCAGTTTGTTTTAGAATTAATGAAGAAAAGATAATATATTTATATGCAAAATCTGCAGTCGCTTTATCAAAATTATCAAAAACAAAAATAAAAGCCAAAAACTCCCAATCATCAATTCCATTCGTAGTCAATAAAACAGAACTCTCATCCCAAGCACCATAAAGCAACACCTCCAATTTCAAAATGGCATTAAAGAAAGAAAAAACTAAAATTGCTTTAATAATGAAACAATTGCAAGATATAATTAAAAAAAAAAAAAGGTGAAGGTTGGTATTTTAAAACTAAAGGGTTAGTGTCCTTTAGTTGGTATTTTAAATCTAAGGGGTTGGTATCCTTTTAAGAAGATCATAGGGGATTTTTTTAATTTGTATTTTTCACCCTTACATATTGTTGTCTCCCCAAAAAGCATGACCCATGGCGTTTCAAGTTTTTCTTTGGCAGAAAAGAAGAGCTGATTTTTTTGACAGAAAACAGAGCTAATTTGAATATTGGTATGATGAAAATGATAATTAAATCATAGCTTTTTGGTCTTGACAAAGGCAGAAAAAAATTAACATGATCTTGGAAGAGCATTAGCTGCAAATACCCATATTATAATCTAGATTTCCTTGCTCACAAATCCCACTTCCCCCAAGAAATTTCATAAATGGATAAGTAAAATAGCCACGTCATCATATAGCTCCTACTTTCGTTTTGGTCCTCCTCTAAATTATTCACAACAGAAATAAATCATAATATATAGCAAATTGGTGACAAGTTCTTTTTCGATCTTCAACCTTCACGCCTCTCACGATCAAATTAAGTAGCATTTTAACCTTATAAAAGTTCAAGTGGGTGGTGGCTGTCTGGAAAAGTCGCAGAACTTCATAATTACTTATAAAATAGTTTTTGGTTCATCAGAAAATTGAAACAAAAAAATGAAGAAAAAGATCGTGGACAATCATCCAAGAGTTTACTTTGAATATATAGTTTCTGTTCAAGTGTTTACTTTGAATATTAGATGATTTGCTGGATCACTTTTCTACCTCCATCGACAATTGCATTCATTTTAAAACTACCAGTTGACCAAACTAGTCCAATTTTTTATTTCAGCTACTTGGTTGTACGCTTAATAGTACTGCTACAGTGTAATTTATAAGAATTTGATGTGACTCATTTTTTCTCCCAAGGACAGAGAAATCTGTGAAAAGGTGATGGAGATGTTAAATATTTTGTTGTGTGTACTGATTGGTGGTTCTGTCCTTGCTGTCCTGGTTCATGCCCAAGATCAATCAGGTTTGTGCTTCCCAACTTTTTTTTTATTAAGTGGCAAGGGTTCTTAGGCTTTATCCGGTACATTCCTCTACCGGACCGATTCAATCCCAACTTTGAATATTGAAAATATTACCTCCATTCACTAACCAATGAGTTAATGATTCTGTCTCGGTCTATTGCAGGCTTCATTAGCATAGACTGTGGGGTATCAGCTGCTTCTACATACAATGATGCAACAACAGGGATAAAGTACATTTCAGATGCAACCTTCATTGATTCCGGGGTAAGCAGGAGTATATCACCACAATTCCAGGCTAAAAACCTTGAACAGCAATTTTATAGTGTCAGAAGTTTCCCTGAAGGTGTAAGAAACTGTTACACCTTAAAACCTACACAAGGCAGAAACAATAGGTATTTGATTCGAGCCAGTTTCATGTATGGGAATTATGATGACCAAAGTAAACCGCCAGAATTTGATCTGCATCTTGGAGTAAATTTCTGGGATTCTGTTAAAATAGACAATGAGACTTCTATCGTTACCAAGGAGATCATGCATGTACCCCCTTCAAATAGCGTATCTGTCTGTCTCATAAACAAAGGCCTAGGGACTCCTTTCATGTCGACATTAGAGCTTAGGTATTTCAGGAATTCCACTTATCCAACTCCATATGAAGCACTTGAGCTGTACCGAAGATTGGATATAGGTTCAATAACCAATAAAACTATCAGGTGAACATTTTATTTCATGCTTTTTCAAGGTTAGATTAAGTCATGGCCAGTTCTGTGTTTCATTTACTATGTATTGCTTAAATGTCCCATCTAGGTACAATGATGATGTTTATGATCGTATCTGGAAGCCTGTAAACTTTCCAAATAGAAAGACATTAAGCACCTCGCTTGCTATTGATGCTCGTAGAAACAATGGTTACCTACCAGGGTCTGCTGTCATGAGCACAGCACATACACCTATAAATGCTAGCCAACCGTACGAGTTTTACTGGGAACCGACAGATCCTCAAGCAAAATATTTTGTGTACATGCACTTTGCGGAAGTTGAAGTGCTCAAAGAAAATGAGATCAGAGAATTTAACGTAACTCAAAATGGTGAATTTTTATATGGTCCTGTTGTTCCTGAGTATTTATATACAAATACATTGTATTCCACAGTGCCAGTAAGTGGAGACAGTATTGAGTTTGGGCTGGAAAGAACTAATAGATCAACACATCCGCCAATCCTCAATGCCCTTGAAATTTTTATGGTTAAAGATTTCTCACAGACACAAACAGACCCAAAAGATGGTATGTTTTACCAAACTGACTTTAATTTTCTTGGAAGAAAACTTGACCTGTCCTATTATAGAAGATTCTAATCATCTATACATAATTTACTAAAAATTATAGTTGATCCAATTGTGGATATAAAGTCAATATATGGACTGAAGAGAAACTGGCAAGGAGATCCCTGTGCACCTAAAGCTTACTCATGGGATGGCCTTAATTGCAGCTATGAAGGCTCTGATCCTCCCAGAATTATATCTTTGTAAGCATGTGACTTTAAATAACCATGCTGGTTTAAGCTTGTATTTTTGTTAAATTTCTATATCCTTGGTGCTTTCGGTGTCATTCATACCTATTTTTTGCATACCTAAATATACAATCAGGAACTTGTCTTCGAGCGAATTGTCTGGAAACAGAGCTGCTTCTATATCCAATCTTGCAATGCTGCAGCATCTGTAAGTATATCTATGTCGAAACAAGCATGACCTCTTAAGGATGAGACCATCATAATCTATCACCATAAAAATTGAACAGACTGAAATTTTTTCTTGCAGGGATTTATCAAACAATAGCTTAACTGGAGATGTGCCTAATTTTCTATCTAAGATGCCATTCTTGAGCATTTTGTAAGTCATCCTGTTTAGGAGTTAGTTATAAATTGAAAATCTATCAGAATCAAGGAATGATGGATGTTGCATCAATCATATTGCAGAAACTTAGAAGGAAACAAGCTTTCAGGTTCACTTCCAGTTGAACTCTTGGAAAGATCAAATAATGGATCACTATTACTAAGGTCTGCTTATTGTCTAAGTCACTTAGCCATATCAGTATCCTAATTCAAGATGGTGAACGGTCTACCATTTACTATTCATTTGTTTTGAATCTCAGTACTAGTTTTTAAGAGAAAAAATAAAGAAGATTTTCCAAGCATATTTAAATCACATGTAGAGATTTGTAATATTAGAGACACTAGCATTGTTTTGTTTTGTTCCAAATATGACTGATTTAATCCTTGATTGTTACAAGCGTTGGGAAAATCCAGACCTTTGTCTGTCAGCTTCATGCCAGAAGAAGGAGAAGCATAAGAACAAGTTTGTTGTTCCACTAGCAGCAACAACTGCTACAGTTTTTGTCATCTTCACCGCATTAGCTGCATTCTGGACCCTTAGAAGGAGAAAACAAGAAGGTATATCACAAAAGATACACCATATTCATTTACTAAAATGAAGATATATCCTAGATGCATCCCTGCTTATTCAGCTTGTGTTGTGGTGATAATTTTAGTTGTTATAAAACTGAATGCTGAGAACGCGAACAAGAGTGGAAGAACATTGGAGTCAAAAACTCGACATTTTGCATATGCTGAGGTCCTAAAAATTACCAACAACTTTGAGACAGTCCTTGGAAGAGGAGGGTTTGGAACAGTTTTCCTTGGCTGCTTGGATAGTATTAAGGTAGCTGTGAAGATGCTATCTGAATCATCGGCCCAAGGCTATAAGGAGTTTCATGCAGAGGTCTGCACATTTATGATATAACCCTGGAATACTTTTAAGCTCATTGACATTTACTATCTTAAATATGGCTAAATTTTACAGGTCAAGCTTCTTATGAGAGTACATCATGGAAACCTGACTGACCTTGTTGGTTACTGCAACGAAGGCAGCCATATGGGACTTATCTATGAGTACATGGCTAATGGAAACTTAAAGCAGCATCTGTCATGTCTTGGTACAAAATTTCACAGCCTAAATGTTCATATATATATATATATATATAACTTGAAATTCTTGAACAAACTTAAGTTTTAATGTTGATGCAGATAGAAATGCATATACCATGAGTTGGGAAGAAAGGCTTCGCATAGCAACAGATGCAGCACAAGGTTTGAGAAAAGGAATTAAAAATCTTTCATCTATCAATCCTCTTCAATTTCTGGTGAACATAACTCACCTGATATTTTGTGGAATTTGAAATCTAGGATTGGAGTATCTGCACTATGGATGTAATCCAGCCATAGTCCACAGAGATGTGAAATCAGCAAACATCTTATTGAATGAAAAAGTCCAAGCCAAGATAGCTGATTTTGGTTTGTCCAGGATTTTTCCGGCTGAAGGTGGCAGTCATATCTCAACAGTTGTTGCTGGTACCCCTGGCTACCTTGACCCTGAGTAAGTACAACTCATGTTTTACTTCGCAAACACCAGAGGAATGTAATAAAAAAGTCAAACTGAAAACACAAGCAAAGTTTTTTTTTTTTTTTTTAATACTTGAAAAGGCTACTAGGATTTGAACCATTGTCATTAGTCACTGGAACTAGGAATAAAGCTGCTGTTGGCACCAAACAAAGTTTCGAATTAAAAATCTTGGCACTCACTAACTTCCATGCTTGGAATGCAGATACCAAATCACCAACTGGTTAAACGAGAAAAGTGATGTATATAGCTTTGGGGTTGTCCTTTTAGAGATAGTTACAGGCAGGCCAGTGATCAACATATCCCATGATGAGGGTTACTCACATTGGTCAATGGGTTAGCTCCTTGGTTGCTAAAGGGGAGATCAAGAGAATTGTTGATCCAAGTTTGGGGGGAGATTTCGAGATTAATTCTGCGTGGGAAATTGTGGAATTAGCACTGGGATGTGCATCTCGCAACTCTACGGATAGGCCAACCATGAGCGAAGTGGTGATGGAATTGAAGGAGTGTTTGAAAAAAGAGGTGGAAGAAGGAGAAGTAGAGGTCCAAGAGAAGGAATCAGCATAAATATAGATACCGAGTCCTCTCCCATAGCAAGGTAAAGAAGTGTCTTGTGCATTGGGGCACAGAAAAATGAATGTGACTTCTCAAAGTTAATTGGATGTTTCATCAGCAACTGCAAATAAATTCATGTCCAAGGTTGTTCTTCGGACTTCCCTCTCCCTGTTTTTTTTTTTTCTTTCCCTTTCCCGTTTAGCTTGTATCTGAATTTTCTTGTAATAAGATGCAAGATTAAAAAATTAGTAATCCTGGAATGCAACTAAAAATTTAACACTTCATTAAATCAAAGATACAAAGAATTTTATAGAGAATACTTATATATAATCATGAGTGAGGATAACAAATTTCTAAATACCAATCTTGGAAATCATATTAAGTCTCAATATTACTTGTATATTAGAACGTTAGGTTATTCAATTTACAAGATATCATTTGACAAAAAAAAATTATTTCAGAAACAAATTTTTTAAAACCATAATTGGACTCACAACAGATTGAAATAGACCAGAGAATACTGAATGGGCTTAATATGGATTGGACAACGTTTGTTCTGTAGCACCAAACGTTAGATCACAGGGTTTCCAAGTTTTTAGGCTAGTTGGGTCAAGTAGCTCAGTTCAGAGCTTTGCTAGTTGCCACCTGCCCGTAACATGGTTTATTCTTCTCAGGCTGCAATGTAAGTGGAGGACAGGGAGAGCGCTCGTTCAAAAGCATTTTTTAAGTAAAGGGATCGGTTGAGTTGGCAATAATAAAATATTTTGTTTGTTATGTTTCGCTTTCAGTCTTATTCTTATCAGTATCTTTTGCGCATACTTTGTAAATTTAATATAATTTTTTTTAAAATTTACAGTCTGTCCTAATTTTAAAATGAAAAACTCTCCCTTACCCAAAATTTTTTTTCACAAAAAAAAAAGTGTTTTTTAAAGTTAACAAGAAAGTTATTATCTAGTGACACTAGATTTCATGGATAAGTTTCATTTGGTTTCGAATTTTTGGTGCATAGTGCTCTGGTTTCAGACGTTTGAATAAACTTGCTTATAGTGCAAGTTGAAGCAAGTCCCAACTACAATGAAATCCACTTTAATTATTGATTGAAACTCAAGCCAGTAATTCAAGTTTGCTTATAATGAAAGTGGCTAAACTTAGGACCTTGTTTTCCAAAAAAAAACAAATGTTTCAAACAGAAACCAGTATCCATTGTGCATGGAAATTGGACAAAACATTTTCCGCCTCATGTCCAACCTTGATTGAGGACTGAGGACCAATAGAGAGGATCAGCTATCCTTTCCCATGGTTAAGAAAATGACATTTCCCTTGATTGAGCTACTAGAGTCACTAGTCTGCTTTGATGGCAATATCGCTGTCCACAGCAATGCAGCAGCTACAATCATAACTGCTGAAACGAATTCAATTCTCCCAACTTGAACTTGAGATGTTCTTATGCACACGCACATTGGTTATTTCTGGACCTATGAAATGTGGTAAGCTGGAATGACAAAAAAAAAAAAACCCAGGCAGAGATCTGGGCTCCTTTCTCAACAGATTGTCTAAATTTATCATGTACATCCAAACCACAAAAGACCCATTTGATCCAATCAAAACCCACCTTTTTACCCTTTACAAGACAAAGCTGAAACTGCCAAGCAAAACCAGGATTTAAAATTTTATGAAAAACCCACATCACCATCATGAAAACATCATTAGTTGGATGAATATAGGGATTATATAATCATATATATTACAAACGAACCTGCCAAAAAAGAAGCATAAACATGTGCTAAGCAATTAGATTGGGGATGGTTTCCAAGAGCACGCTTTGGATTGAATCAAGGAGACAGGACCACTGGCTGGGGACACAAATTTTGAGAGAATGTTTCTTGCTTTGGTTAGTTAAACAAAGTACACATTAAAAAACCACCATAAAGAACTCCAGGAAAAAGAAAGCTTTTAAGGACGTAAAATACATTAAACAAGAGTAAAGTGATCATAATTCCTTTCTGGCCCTTGATCTTAATCATAGGTGCTATAATTGCTAAGCCTTTTCATAAGAAAAGGTTGTCAAGAACTAAGCTATTTCCACCCTTCTTTTTGCTGCTCCACTCCAATTATCTTGATTTTGGGAGTGGAAAGAGCAAACAGAATGGCTCCCGTTATGCTCTTGGGTAGTGGATACAATAATGGGATAATCAGGAAATCTATCATTAGCAAGAGTTTTTAACTCCAGATTACAGAAGATATGTAATGATGAAAATGATGATGATCAAGGGATTTGGATGAGTTTTCTAATATAGTACTACTTGCTCTAAGGCGGGGAAAAGTTTTTCTGCATGTTAATCTTTACTGATGAATTATTAAATGATGATGATTATGAAAAAGGAACCATATCGTTATTAGGAATTCTTTTATTGGTTTTGGAGTAGTTTTTTCAATCCTGTGAGTGGTGGATATGATTAGGGTTTAGGAGTGGAAAATCTGTTTGCATTGGGAGAGAGTTGTTGGAATTGGATGGTAAAGATGAGAAAGCAAGTCGGTAGGAGGACAACTCATTGGGTCAAGCTTGTGGCCTAGGTTTTCTAGTGCCTTGACTTGGGACCTGAGGAACTTTAGGTAGTTTGCAGCCTCATCAAGCATTGATGCTGTATCCATCTTGCTCCCACCAGGAACCAGCCTCTGCAAAACCGTAATTCTCTCACTTATCCTCTCCCTCCTTTGCCTTGCAGCCACAGTTTGTGGATCAGTTGATAATCTCACATTCTTCCTCTTTGGTTTCTCCACCACTTCCAAGCCTAAGTTCACAGGCCTGAAGGCTGCAGCTCGATAAATCATCTCTTTCATTTGTGCAATGGCCTCAGAATCAGGTTCCTCAATAGAAGAAGACACTGACGAACTTGGCTGTTGAAAATTGATGTTTGATGAGCTAGGGCGCTTTTCTGATCTGGCTTTCTTTGTCTTCGGTGGGTTCTCAGGAATGAGCCTAAAACCACCTTCTGTAGCAGAAGAGTCAGTCTGAAGAAGATTGATGTAACTACAATTTAGACCAACTTTGAACTGATCATCATTGCCTCTCTTTGAACAAATCGGCTGTGTCTGTGTTTGTGATAGTTTGCCATTATTGATGTACCTATCCGAAGAACTCTGGGACACTGTTTCATCAAGCTCATTCATTGGGCACTTGAAATCTTTGCTTCCTGTATTTGAGCCATTGTTTTCGGACTCTCCTGATGAAACTGCACTGCTAGCAGCAAAATTCCATATGTTCGTACAATCTGAGAAAATCATGGAAATCCCATCATCTTCAACTGACGTATCAGAGTTGCTATTAGTAGCTGAGAGAAAGCAATCAAGAGACTCAAGAGAGCCTGTTGTTGTAGCACCAGCCTTTCCATTTCGTAAACCATTAATGACTTGAGAATGAACTGCCATGCCAATATCAGAAATTGAAGCATTTGATGTGCTTAAGCCATAAGCACTATTCATCAAAGGGGAAGAGCACAACTCTTGTGTGAAAGCATCTCCCCAATTGGTAGATTCCATAAGGCTTGTATCTGCAGCAAACCTTACTGCTTGACGCTGCAACATATTAAAGTTTGAGGCAACGTTTACTAAATCTAGTTCAGAAACTGATTGTGGAATCATTTCACTTAAAATATCTGAATCTGGATTCACACGAGATGGCTGAGCTTTTTGGAGTTCTTGAATTGGATTGAAGATATCTTCCGGCAGATCCATCTTGCCACCATACATGGAAGAATTTGAGTTGAAAATTAAGAAACTGTTTTCTATATCATTTCGCTGACTGTTCCAAGCAAGCATTGAGTTTCCTACAACTTCTGAGCCATTCCATCCCAAGCCATCCATGGATGTAAATTTTTTCTGAGCCAAGGAAAATAAAATTACTTCAACACCTATAAGCCAAGGACTTTGAGTAAACGTGACATAACTGGAAGGTTCTATAGCAGTTGGTTCATCGACAGAATGAAAGAAAATTTACGTGAAAGATAGTTGATAGAAATTTGGTTGATAGAAAATTAAGTAAAAGTACATACCAAATCCAGATCCAGCTGCCACTCAGGTTAGCTTGCCAAAAGAAGCCAACAAGTGAGGAATATGTGCTCTAAGTCTTTTAACAATAAAGTTGGATCAAACCTCAGCTTAATATCTCTTTCTGTACAATCTGGTAGTGGCACTAACCGTCCTCTTTAATTCTTGATCATGAAAACTGTGATCATGAACAAAACAACCATTGCTAACGTCAGTCGTTGCAACTGAAGTTTGTCCCGTGTGAAGGAAAAAAAAAAGAAATTGAAGAAATTGCCTCAACAAATTATCCAGCAAAAGATAAACATGAAAGCAATCCAGGAAAGCATAAATAAAAGTCAAGAATGCACAACAAATTTTTGTGTATATAGAGTTAAAAGGAAGATATTTCATCAACCTTGAGATGTAATGGAGAAACAGTATTGACACAGTATTGTGTTTAAAGGCATGCTTATATAGATAGGAAGAATGAAAAAGGAATAATTTTATGATAGAATAAATACTTTGTATTAGGACTTGAATAATGTAAAATATAGGAAAAAGGGTAGCTCAATAAAATATAATTTCATAAGTTGAAAGGAGGTGTAATGTGGGATTGGAAAAGATAAGGCTTTTTGGTCAGTTTGGTGGGTGTGTAAGAGTATATTTCTGCAGATGGGAAGCATCAAGTATGAGATATCAGAAAAAAATTGATAATTTTTATTTAGTTTTTATATAGTTTTGTTCTCTTTCTAGTGGGAAAAAGTTCTGACATCCTTTTGGTTGCTCATGCTATTCCATGCGCATTGTAAAGTTTCATTAAAAACTGCAGTCAAAGCGAGCATCTTTTAACAGTACAACACTCTCTTTCTGAAAGCTTTCCATTAATCATTGTTTTAATCATGACATCTATGACCATCCCCTGTTTTCACTTTCTACCAACGTTTTCTTTTAATTACTACTTCTGTTGCCTAGAAAAATATAGCTATGGTACTACAACATATATCAGTACAGTAAAACAGCAATTATGCGTGTATCGTGCTTTTACCATCTTCTAACTCTGAGATTTCAGCATTTCTATATATAGAATTTCATCACTAAAATTTGATGATGGTAAATTGTAAAAAGACAGTAAATTAGTATTGAAAAAAGGGTTGAAACCCGAAAAGTACCTGCAGTTACATTTCTTAGGATTGCCATTTTGAACACAAACAATAGTGGGGACTGGGGGAAGTTAGAACAATTAAAAAGATATTGGCAGGCAAAGTAAAGGGCAGTCAGAGAATCAGAGGAAGAAGATAGAGAGCACAAGCAAGTTGCTAATAGAATTTTGTCTCTTCAACCATCCTATATGTTTTCTCTCCTTTTCCTTTCCACTTTATTAAAATACAGATAGTTGTACATGCAAGAGGGAAGGAAAGAAAAGTGGGGTATCTGGGTTTTAAGTCCTACCCACATGCGCCCCATCATTACAGCTCAATGAATGGGTTCCCATAGCATTTGCTTTCTACATGTAATCGCCAACCTTTCCCTTACATTTATCTTTTCAGGGAAAGGGAAGGCTTCCCGTTTCAGAGTTAGAGTACACTGCAGATTTATTAAATTTATAGATGTTTATTAAGAAAGATTACTAATAATTAAATTTTAACTTAGGTCTTACAAACAAAGTATTAAAACCTTACCACCTCAACGACGCTCCCTTACTTATGTCTCTCTCCTTATGTTGCCAACTCTAATGTTTTTCATCACCAAATCTGCAGAGAACAAGCAAAAAAATATAGTAATTGGAACATCAGATTTTTTAACAAGCAAACAAATTTCAAGCCACTAGTAAAACAAAATACTATAAGAAAAAGGAAAAGAAATTTACCAACTTTGGAAGTTGAATTTCCAATCCTTGGCACTTCCTAGTTATCAACAACCTATTTAAACCAAGAAAAAAAGGAGAGAGAGAGCAAAGGACAATGAAAGAGCATTAATGACTGTTTCAAGTATAGAATCCACATTGAAGTTCCTTCTGAAATCTCAACAGTATTGAAACAGACTCGTCATTCTTTGGGCCTGGACTGTTTAGCTCAGTTGACTGTTGATTTTTGGTGTGACCAATTACCAAACTATGACCTTATTGAAAGATGTTGCTATCTCAAACTTTTACCAATTTCCAATCTTTTTCATGCACAATTGATATTTTTAACCAACTGCTCTTTCATTTCTTCAATCTTCCTCTATGACAATTGTAATTTTGATTAAAAAAAAGGTGTTTTTTTTTAATAATGTTAAAATAATATTCTCTTAACCACCGAATGCAACAACGCAATACGACATCAAGTTAATACGACATTTAACAAGAGAATTAAATTTAAAACCCAAGTACATAGCATAAACACTAGGTAAAGTTTAAAAAGTTAATTTAAATATGAACAATGTGTTCAGTCCTTTAAAAGTCGAACTTAATCCATTTAATTTGATTAAAAAAATTCAATTATCTAAATTTATAGAATTAAAACTCGAAAATGATTTAAAATAAAATTAATCCAAACTTAAAAATCTTACTTAAATTATGATCTAAGTTTTAATTAATTTAATTTTAAAATTCAATAATTTGAATTTATATGATTTGAAACAAATAATTCCAGTGTGAAAATGATTAGAATAAAAAATAATTTAAATATAAAATAATCCGACCTTAAAATAACCTAATTTTAGAAAGAACGGAGCAAATTTGAGTAAAATTTGTGGGAGGGAAACAAGCATGTTAATGGGTCATTTCATGAAAATATGAAGTGATGAGGAAATTAATGTTGTTTTTGATGAATAATTCCACATCTTTTCATGGCTTTCACATGACTACTGACTGCTTACGTAAAATAGGAGGTGTGCCTGTGAATGTTTGATCCCTGCTTAAAGCTACACATAAGATGAGACGAGGAAAACTTACAAAAATTAATTAAATTAAGAAGGACAATTCAAGTGTAATCTTATGTAGCAGTTATTAATGCGAACAATTACATCTGAAGAGTTAAATCAGGCAGCCAAAGTTCATAAAAATTTTGTAGGGAGGCCCACAATTGGTTAGGGTCTAATTTTTGTTGTTTTTTATCAGATGGTCCCCAATCCATCGTCAAAATCTCAATTAATGCCGCTATGATCTTCTCCCGCGTTATTTCTGCAAAATCCTGACCGTTTCCATAAGCTCTTTGGGTGGGAGTCGTCTCCATCGTCCGCCGCTAGATCTAATAATTTTTGTTTTGGTATCATGTCTCATATTATATTTAATATATATAGCTATACAAATTATTAAAATATAAATATGATAAGAATTATAAAATATATTTAAAATTTAAACACAAATATTATATATTTAATATACGTATTATATATGATACGATATGATTAATATATATATAATTAATTTGTTTAAATATGCACGAATAAACACTAATAATACAAATATATATGAATAGATATAACTAATATGAATATATACGAATAGACACGATTAACATAAATATATATAAGAACACAATTAAAATAATAAATAATTATAAATTATTCATCATTTATAATTTAATAAATTTGACATATTAAAAATATAAAAAAAAACTTGCATATTAAAAAAATAAAAAATTTAATACTCATTTAATATGTATTATATATATATTATTAAATTTAATTTATACTACATAACTATATTAATTTTAATATTAAATTCAAAATGATAAATTATTAAAGATTAAATAATAAAATAATAATGTATAGGACTAATATTAATACTTATATTATATTTATATTATTAATATAAAAATAATTTTATAATGATTATTAAATGAATATCATAAATATTTAAAATAGTTTTTATATGATATTAAATAGTTAATTAATATCATAATTAAAAAATTAAAAATTAAAATAATCTTTATATATTTATATTAAATTAAAATAAATATAAAAAATATGTTAAATGTGTTAATAATATTAAATGTGACAAAATTAAATTAAATATATTATTTATGTCACATTATATGTTTAGATTAATTAAAATATATACTATACGAATTATATCATATTAAAATTTATATCGAGATAAATAAATATTAAATTTTTTTAAAATATAAATATAATTTTTTAAATATTTTTATATTATATTTTTGTACCATATTTAAAATTATTATGTCTATCTCTTGGCTTGCTCTTCTTCTCTCTCTCTCTTTCCTTTGTATCATTGGTGATTGAACACGTGAACGCAACGCTTCGGATCACATGTGGCGGATGATGATTGGATGGTGACCTAAATGATAGCCTCCTCCCACGTGGGGGAAATCTAGACATTGAAGGGCTGGATGTGTGGGCACCATTGAGTTTATTTGAATATTGATGATTGACGCCCAATCTTACTCTGCAAACAGTTAACATTTGTCTGCTGGGATTGTGATTTGCGTCTATATCATCTTTGCTGTGGATGTCCTCTACTCAATTTTCTGTCCACATATTAAGCTTTCCATTTTTAACTTTTGTTTTTTAATTTTATTTATCCAAAAAAAATTCGTGATCATGTTTTCGAATAAAATCCCTTCTTCCATACTATTTTACTGAAGTTTCAAGTCTTAACTAACAATGTCATTTTCTTTTTAATTTTAATGGCAAGATGAAAATTTTGAAAGACTAAGTCATAGATGCAAAAGTTTTATTAATATAAAATCCACACCCTGCATTAACATATCAATGTTTTAATAGTTAGACCTAAATTCAAAGATTTTGTTGATATGAGATTCACACAGTTTATATTTTGCAAATTATATATGAGATTTATCCTGTGTAAACCAATGATATGAAAAATTGGATTTGCATTCTGTGAATATCCTTAGAAAGATTGCATCAATTTGAGTTGTGAATGTCCATATTCGACATATTAGACAATTTAATTTTTTTTATTTTTTTTCTCACCTCTACTGTCAGCCCACTCTCATTAGCTGCTTGTTAAAAGAGTGTTGCAAATTCATATGTTCAACTATTCAACGCTGTAGTGTGTTGCCATCATCAATGTCCAATGTCGGCAAAAATCAAAGATACGAAGAAATCAAGGTCATCGTCGTCGTCGTCGTCGTCGTCCGGAGAGAGGTATTTTTAAAACGACAACGACATTTCAGGGTTGATAAAAACTGTCAGTTCAAGTTGGTGGCAGCGACGTTTCGGTGTGGATGCACGTGTAGAAGGTTTGTCACATTCATTGGCCATAAGCTCAACAACCCAGAAAGGGCCAAAAGCCCGTTGGGGGTGGTAGTGGGACGGGGGGGGCCTTTATCTCTTCCAAAATGAAGGGGCGTTGTCCCCAATGTTAACTGGCTTTTACAGATTTGTAGTGATTTTGAATATGATCCTAGAATTCCCAAGCTGGATGCTCAGGGTAATGAATCACGATGCTGACCCCCACGTTCATGACACCCGAGGCCCACATGATCGCCATAGTTTTAATTTCTGTTTGAAACAAATCCGGGCCACGAATCGAAAAACATAAATAAACACACGACAAAATAATAGAAAAAAAAAATGCTTTTGAAACAATGAGATCTTTGTTCTTGCGTTTCATACTTGGTTACTTAAATATAGGTAACAATAACCTCAATTTAGCATGAAAACTGTTAAGGGAACTCTGTCTTTGACTTCACTTCATTACTTTCTATTTGTTCTTTTTTCTTTGGTTGGATACTTTTCATGTGATGGTCTCCTCTGTGTATTGAAAATTTAAACAAATTTAACGTTTCAAAAATCTTAATACATTTTACCATAGAATCATAAAATTTTATGGATAATACCTTATAAATTAGATTTAATATTATATATTAATGTTTCCCAATTTTTTTAGTTAGAAATTTAATTATTGACAAATAATCTCTTTTTCGGAAGCATTTCATCTTGCATTAATCTACGTAAACAAATTAAAGTTTAGATTAAGATTTAGCTTTCAAAACTCATTGAAATCAGTCTAAATAAATTTTCGACACATGATAAAATGTTCATCTTCAAAATGGAAGGAAAACCACACTATAGGGGGAATTACATTTCATTTCCAGGAAAAACATCTGGCAGACTTTATCACTGATTCTAAGGAGAAACAATACCTTGGATCAATATAAGATAAATGTTTTGTTTAGGACAGAATTCTCTATTCATCTAGACAATAAAATATTAATCTAGTTTTTTCTACATATCAACCTTAGATAAGTTGATTGAATATTGCATCAAACTATCAAAATTAAATATTATTGTAACACCCCAACTCTAATACTTGCACTAATTTATTTCAATTGCTACTTCTCCACTGAACCAGTGCCATGTAGATGAAGATTTATTACCCTTTTATCTGCAGAAATTTATGCCCAAACACTGTTTCCTTCGGTTCCGTTGCTAGTACTTGTATGGGTAGAAGTTGAACATGAAAACATGCATTTTGGGCCAACAGATATATAAACCAATGTAGCCCAACATTCTATTTAGCAAACGGGCTAATTCTTAGGCTTGCCAACGGAAGTTATTCAAGAAGATTGGCCGATGGCCATCCTTTTTTCTCTAGGAGGCAAGAAGGATTGGTTATACCTACAACCCCAAATATATTAGTAATGATAAAGTATATGTAATAAGTAAATAAAAGCATACAATATTCTCTGTCTTCTTTAATTTAAATATTCATCTTGACTCGACATTTTCTTTTACTAAAAAATAGGATAAGGGATAAAAAAGCTCTAAAAAAAATTTAATAATTATCCAAAATTTTATCATTTTATTATAATTAATTAAGCTCTAAATATTTATTTTCATCAATTGAACCCTTATTAGATTAAATTAATATGAAAATTTTCGTCTAATCAAGAATTCAATTAAGCAAAAAATAAAATGTTTAAGGATGTAATTGATGAAAATAGATATTTAAATGTTCAATTAGATAAAAATAAAAAATTCAGGTCTTAATTAATTGTAATAAAATTATTAGAGGCTTATATGATTATTGAAGTTTTATTATAGAAGTTATTAAAGATTTTCAGATTTCTATTTCTGAAAACCTTTTAAAAATTTTGAAAAATAAATTTTTGAAATGAGGTGTAAAAGATAAAAAAGTAATTGACTAATGAATATTTAAGTAATTTCATTAAAAGTTAAAATTTTGAGAAGTATAACAAAAAATTGGGATATAAATAGCAGCACTCTTAAATATTTTGTCATCTAAGTTATCCAAATAAATTTAAGTAAATATTTTCTATACATTACATCATTCAACTAAGAAGATTTAAAATTTTGAATATTTTGTAGTGTCAAGGTTTTGATTACAATAAATTTATAAATTTAAGTTTATGTAATAAAAAATTAAGAATTTATTTTTAAATAAAATTTGAGTGCTTACATGAGTATTATCTCAATTTTATATTAAAAATTTAAAATAATCATAACATTAAATAAACAATTAAAAAATTACAAATAATTATAAAATAAAAAGTCCATACATCATGAGCATTCAATTTGGCATTAATGAAAATTAATTTTATGCATGAAATAGCAACTAGAGATACACCCTTGCTTTATTTATAACTTTCCATAGAGTCTCAATTAGACTTTGAAGGTTTAATAATCGATGTCTCTTCACTTATACTTTAAAAGAAATATATTTGTTAATAAGTAGTTGATTCAATTTGTTGAGATTCATTCTCATCGATAAAAAAGATTTTGAATTCAAATTTTATTGGTGATTATTTGTTGAGATAATTTTGAATGCACGATTTACAATCATCTATCTTAACCTATAAAATATGACACATTTTATCTTGATCTAAAATTTTAAACAGTTATCTATCCATGGATTTTTCTTGCCCAAAAAAAAAAAGAAATAAACCTATTTCATATTTAATTAATAATTTTAACTCAAAACCTTATGGCCCTATGTATTCCTAGCACATGACATTCCATTATTTAGAAACTGGTCCCAATGAAATGATAAATCCAAAGCACAATTAAATTCTGGTATGATTTTTTTGTTGTTTTTCCATAAAGGATTGTTAGTAAACATTAAAATGTAAATTAGAAACAAGCTTTCGCGATACTGCTAGTTTATTTTTAAATTGATATAAAAATAAAATATAAAAAATTATTAATTAAATAATCCAGCAAAAAATTTAATCTATAATATAGATAAATATAGATTTTCATTTTAATTATAAAACAAAGTTCTTAAATTTATTATTTATTATCTTCTTAATATTTGTAAAACTATTAAAACAATAACATTATACAAATAAATGTAATTATTATTATTTTTATAAAATCTGACTAATTTCCTTTGTTGGCAAGCAAAACCGAGTAATTAATCACGTGTTATGAAATATCGAGGCAAAGATCATCTCTTAACCCAAACTCCAAAAGAGAGCGTGCACATCCCCATTCCGTATATTTGTCCACCCCCAAACCATAATGATTAGACCATGTAAACCACGCTCCAGAGTCCAGACACCCACGTGAAGACCAAATCCCACGACTTTCTCAGTTCCATACAAACAAAAGCTGGAGAGAAAAGCAAGGAAAAACAAAACCAAATATTTGCTCGAAGGAAGACGATCTTTTAACTGATTTTTAGTTAAAAGATTGGCCAAATTTTGAACAATAAACAACGTGTGGCCGAGAAAGCCGGACTACCTCGTTAATTATTCACATGTCAAAGGGACTCAGTCACTTGTTTTACCACTCCGGTTCTTTTAAATTTAATCATCTGTTTCTTTTATTATTCATTGCAGATTCTTCCGCTTTTTCATGTACTGGATATCCAATGAAGATATGACATGTCAGCAACATGATATATTTTGATGTGGCAGGATCTTTGATGTTTTTGGGAAATGGATAACATGAGACAGGCGGAAGTGCTCGAAAGGATAGAGAGAAGTGGGGAGTACCGGGGGGCCAGGGGGTGTTCTTTTTCCTCAGTTCTATCCACTCCAGTTTGAACCCACGACACAATTTTGCTTTCATTTGGTTTATAGTTTTTTAATTGGTTCCATGGTGATAGAGTTTTTTGCTTTTGGGTGATTAGAGAGAGAAGAGATCTTCTCTTGTGGAATTCCAAGGCAACCCTCTTCTTTGGCAGAATCTATCTTTTTCTACATTTTTATCTATCTTACATACTTTTTTTTTCCCTTCTTTCTATTCTTCTTTTACTTTTTATTATTGGGTTCTCTTTTTTGGAACTTTTACTTACAGTTTTTGTTGTATAAAAAAGGAATGTTAATTGTTATATTGTGGTGGTGGTAGTGTTGGCATCTGAATATCAGCTGAAAGTTTGCTTCTTTTTGGGGTAGGTGAGAGGCTGGATGTTGGTGAAATTTGTGTGTTGTTATCAGTGGCTTAATTCGTTCTAGCTGCTGGGTTATTGATTTTTGGAGCAAAAGTTTTGATTTTTATGGACTGTTTAGGTCCTGGATATTAGCAAAAACTCGTTTTTGTTAGAGCAAATTTTCATGAGTTCATGTTTGTTGTTTATGGTTTTCAGTCAAAAGATTTTTTTTTTTAAGGTGGGGGTGATCTTTGGATGTTGATAGAGTTCTGAATTCTTCTTAAGAGACTGATTCTGATGGTTGAATTAATCCAAAGTAGGTTGATTCTGGGTGATTGTGTTTCTTGGTGAGAGTTATTCAATTGCCGTCAAGGGACCAAATTTTTGGTCTGTATTGCATTTAGTTTGAAAGGATGCAAAGGGATTGTTTTGATGGTGGAAGAACCAGTTTTTTTAGTGGAATTTTGTGGTGAAGGACTGGAAATGATGATGAGAGGAGGAAAAGATGAAGCAAGGGTGATGAGTCCTATGTTTCCTAGGCTTCATGTGAATGATACAGTGAAAGGAGGGCCAAGGGCACCTCCAAGGAATAAAATGGCTCTCTATGAGCAGTTCAGTATCCCTTCCCAAGGGTTCAACTTTGGATCACTATCCATGCTGCCTCTTCCATTAAATAACAACAGCAGCTTGGTTCCTTCAATATCATCAAGCCATGTAAGTTTGCTAATTTGAATGAATTCCTAAAGTCATAAGATGCAATTGTCTCCTTCAAATTACCTTGTTTGAATGGTCTTAAGCAATATGATTGCCTTTGAATTCTGTTTTGTTTCTTCTATCTGTTAAATTTGATGCAATTTGATTTAAGGATCGGTGGTTTTTATTGATTGATTTGCATCTTTTCATTAAAATTTCCTTGGTGGGATCATCCAGGCGTTCTAGATTTAATCAAATACTTCTTAACATATGTTCAGTCTGTAGAACAAAATCTGTGTGAATTTCTGAGATTATGTGGATTGATGTATATTTTATCTTGTGTGACAAGAAAATTTTCATATTTGTAGGGTGGTGGCAATGAAAAGAGTATGTTTGTGCCATTCGACAACTCCCATGAATCTTCAATTTTGGCTGAGAAGTTTCATTCTTATTCCATCCCTGGGACTAAACTAAAAACCAAGAAAGGAAAACAAGAAAGAAAATCCATGGAAGCTACATATTCCCTTAGTTTGGATACCACACCAGCAATTCCAGCAGTTTCTGAAAGTAATTCGTTGCAATCACTCCATTTCTCTAACTTTAAGAAATTTTCTTTAAGGAACCTAGGATATGATGTTGACCTTAGGGTTCCTACATCTGTTCTGTCTGGAATTGATCAAAATTGCAATTCCAGTAAGCAGATTGAAGGCTGGGAAAATTTTTCTAAATTGAATTTGAGCTCTCCAATTCAACTTCAAACTGCTAATAAAAAGCAGAAGAAGGAAAATGATGCTGTTGATCCAAAGTCTAGAATACATGTTGGGAACCAAGCTAAGGAGAATGGAAGATTATTTAGAAGTAGTCAGGAACTCGTGGAAAGGTCTAATTCAATTCTGTCAAGCAGAGATAAAATCTTGGCAGACACATCATCTGACCTGTCAATAAAAGTCAAGAATTCAGAATCATTAAAACGACCTCGTGATGCTTCCTATAACCAAGAAAATAAAAGCAGCTCAGTGGATATATCGAACAGTAAAGATGGTCCAAATGCTGTGTCGCATATGATCTTCAGGGAAAATATTATGGTGGAATCTGGCAGATGCCTGGAAAATGCTTCCAAGGCGAGAAATGAGTCATGCTTGAGACAATCACATGGAGTTGAAAATGGAAGTATGAATGTGCTTGAAAACAGAAGTAAGGCCCATGAAGAAAAGAAGTGTGGCGATTTGAAAGTTGGGGGTGTTAACGGACATAACAATGTCCCAGGTGCCTCTATGGTGGAGTCCATATCTCCTTTGGATATATGCCCTGATGATGTTGTGGGAATAATCGGTCAAAAGCATTTCTGGAAACTAAGAAGTGCTATTGTCAAGTAAGTATCCCTCTTCTGTTGTTGCTATGAGCATCTGTTATAGCTAATGAATATCAGTAGCATGTAGTCTATTCAATTTTGTTTAGCACAGCTGCATTTTTATATCCATATCTTATTTAATATTTCAGCTTCACTTCATGCTCATTATCGGTGTACACATGCTAAATTCTTTTAGTTTAAATGTGTCTTTTCAGTTAACAGTTTGAAGCATCCCATTAATGGATTCACATTGTTTTATCATTTTACAAGTTATAGAAATTGGCAAAAATCTAAGCTGGTGTTATCATCATTCATTGACATTGACGGCAACAGAGCCCCAAATATTCTTGTAGTCTTTCAGGGCACCAAATATTCCTCCCACTCACAGAGTTACATTTAATAGGAGGTCATCCCTGTCTTTCATATCTTACCCAATCTTTGAACTGAATCATGGAGGGAGAATGGTTAATCCTATTCTTGATCCATTTTATGGACATGGTCACTTTGATCATGTCACTCTAAAATTGTTCAGTTTAGTGATGGAAGTGCAATGTTAAAAATTGTTCATGCATAACAAACAAGGTATAAAAAAAAGAGAAAAGGAAAATAGTCCCTTTTCAAATGTCTTGACTAGGAGAAAAGAATAGAAATCAGGTTACCAGAAAAAGAAAACCATATTGGTGCAAAAAGCAAGGGATTCCTCCGACGACCTTATACTAGTCATATCTTAACCATCAATATCTAGTTAAGAGTGAATCTTTTGGAATTACGATGGGGCATCACAAAAAAACTGTCATCAAATCGACATTCTTTGTATTCCATTCTACTAATTTTGATTTTCCTGTCTTCTTTTTGCTTTGTGTTATTTTAGTAGTTAACGGTCATGATCTCTTTTGCAATCATACCTAAATTACATCGAAGTGTATAATAATTTAGCATATGTTGTTGAAATTCTTTCTATTTTGCTATGGGTAAAGGAGTAAAGGACTAGCATATTGATACTGTCATATCTAAGTATTTTTGTCTCCAAGGATTCATATATGAAAACTTCTGATTTACAGAAAACTTCTGATATACAGTCCCTTTGCCTCCACATCTCTTCAATCATTCTTAATACTTCTCTCTCTCCCCCTTGCATGTAGTTATTTATTTATTTATTTCCTTGCTTTAGAAGATTGGTCTATTTTAAGTCACTTTTATTAGTTTCCCCTGTATATCAATGCAAAATCCATTGCCCTTCATGCATATTGGAGACGATGAACTCTCTAGGAAGTGTGAAAGTTTTGTAGTATGCGCATGGTGTCTTCCAGGTCATGAGAACTATAGTTACATAAGTAATTGTTGTTTGGTGTTGTAACCTGCAGATACTCTTGGGTCTTATCTTTTTTGTAAATGCTTGATGTATTGCCTTTATGTCTTCCATATGTAACTGCTCTTTTTTGCTCTTATTGTAAAATGTTTAATATAATTTGCTGTTTGTATCACTTTTTCTAACTCTTCACAAAAGCAGTCAAGAGTTGCTGCTAGCTCTTTTTCCTGAGATACTAAATGTTATATCACTGTTTTCAGCCAACAAAGAGTCTTTGCTGTGCAAGTCTTCGAGTTGCATAGACTAATAAAGGTAAACAGGTCAATGTACTATTGAGTTGCTAGGTTTTTCAGCAAATTATGTATGTAATCTCATTTTTTCGTTTCTTATCCATCTATGTAAAATAAAAACTAAAGGAAATTTACTTTGCATTGATCTGGAGCAGGTTCAGAGGTTGATTGCTGGGTCACCACATGTGTTGGTTGGAGATGCATTTTATATGGGCCAACCATCTTTAGATGTTTCTCCCATCAAGAAGTTGTCATCTGACTATGTTCCTGAACTGCCATTGGTTGTTAATGTCAAAGATAATTCTCAAAAACCAAATATTATCATTGAATGTGCAGATGAGAATGCAGTTGCAAAGCTTCCCCCTTCTGCAGATGATGATACCAGTAAAGGACTTGTTACACAGCGACCCAAATATGGGCCTGATTCAGGAAATAACTTGTCAACACCGATGGCTGCCAATACTGGGCCCTCTTCCTGGGGTTTCTCTCCTCCTGGAAGTCAGTGGTTAGTTCCCGTTATGTCTCCTTCTGAAGGACTTGTTTACAAGCCGTGCACAGGGCCTTGTCCTCCAACTGCAGGTTTCTTGGCACCAGTTTATGGGAGCTGTGATCCTGTGAACCTAGCTGTAGGAGGTGGGGACTTTCTGAACACAGCTTATGGTGTTCCAGCTTCTCACCAACAGGGAATTGGAATTCTTCCTGGCAACCCTAGTATAGGTCAGACCTACTTTCCACATTATGCCATGCCAGTTAGGAATCCATCAGTTTCCAGCTCAGCAGTTGAGCAGATGAGCCCGTTTACTGGAGTTCAGTCAAAGGGGAATCAGTTATCAACAGGTGATGTAATCTTCACCATAACTCAACCGAGTTCATGCAACATGTCAAGTCAGATGAGTCAAGCAATATCATATTGTGTTGGAAAACTGCCTGCGTCAAAAGAGAGCAAAATACAGGGAAGTACGGCAAGTAGTCCCTCTGAGAGGGCTAGAGGTGATGCACTTCCTCTTTTCCCTACTGAACCTACAACTCAAGCATCTAATTACAATGCTCAGACTAGTGGGCAGAGAACACGGGTGATTAAGGTTGTTCCACATAACCGCAGATTAGCGACTGAATCAGCAGCTCGGATCTTCCAGTCTATACAAGAAGAAAGGAAACAGTACGATTAGTTTTTGTATCCAATGAGGCTTATTTCGCGGAAAATGACTTGCGTGTCTGTATCTGTAATTCTTTTATGTTAATAACATGTACATAGGCAATATAAGGTTGAAAAGCAATCAACTGCTGCTCAGTTGTAACCATGCTTTGCTTCTATGTTTTATGATCAAGAGGGCTTTTCTGTAGGAGCCATTTTGCAGCAAATTTTAGCCGCGTTAGAAAATCACATATCAAGCATTTATTGCACCATAAGCCTTTAATTACCAAGCATTATAAGTCTGCTTTAAATACAATTCTGGATGAAGGAGAATTAGAAGAAAGTCCCACGTCACATGCGCTTTCTGGTTCTTCCCCCCTTTCTTTTTTTTTTTTTTTTTGTATTTCATGGTTTAACAAATTCTGGCTCAGAGTGGTTTGAGGACTCTGCTGTCTTAGAAGTTGCTTTCATGGCGTTCACATTGATGTTGAATATTTCAATTTGGAATTGTTAAGCTGAAACTGCTAAGAAGAAAAAGCCAATTTGAAGGATGCAAGTGTTTCATTGCCTAAACAGTTAAATTTAAAATTACAAAACTAATGAAATTAATAAACAAATTTATCATAAAATAAAGAATTCTCATAGTATTTTAAAGGGTGAAAGTTAGTATTCAAGAAGCTCCAATTGGCAAACACATTCAATATGAGGAGTATGAGGGAACATATCCACTGGCTGTATGCTTTTTAACTTGTAACATCCTTTGATATTTTGCTCTATCTGCATCAAATTAAGGTTTTCAATTGCTTCAGATGATAGATTATTAGATTTTTCAACAATAATGATTATAGAAGTAACCATACTTACCACACCATGGCAAAGGTAATCAAGATCACGAGCGCAAGTCGCAGGATTGCATGATACATAAACAATTCTTGGAGCTTTAAGCTTTAGCAGAAATTTGATTAACTTCATGTGCATACCGGGTCTATTTGGATCTGCAAATCACGGTTAAAATCTCAACCCTGAATAATATCGCAATGAGTTACAGTCAAACCACAGATCTTCAACTTCTCCCACCAGGGTGAACCTTGACTTCGTGGAAAGTTTTAAGTATGGTTATTTAGGTTTTAGGTTCAGGAAAGAGCGTCCCTCCTATCACGTGTCGAGTTAATTATTGCTAATTTGATTTCAACATGTTAGAGGAAAGTCTCTATCTAAACAAGCAATCTTAAAATGCTCCAAGTTGTCCCTTCACAATGTAAAATTTTTTATGAATATAAAAAACTTTGCTTGATAAGAAGAATGGAAAGAGGTAAAGACAAGAAAATAGTTAATCCAATTATTAAGTGGAAAGTGGCTATGAAACATAACATTGGATTAACAAATTTTTCATTCTTGACCCTTTCCATCTGCCAAGTAAAGCCTTAAATCTCAGCAACATCATTTCTGGCAGCTATCTAAATAAGCACATTCAAGATACTCTAGTCAGAGAACATTACATACATGTATTAGAAAGGAGAATAGACACCTGTAACAACAACGATTCCAGCGCTAAATGGACATTAAATATTTCCCTAACTATTCTAGAATATTTGAATAGAATGTTGTTAAAGGAAAAAAAAAAAAAGGAGGGTGAGCAAACTAACATCATATTTGCACTATTTGCCTGAAAAAAGGTCGGAATGCAAAAAAAAAAAAAGGGGGGGGGGGGGCATAAGCACACTACAATCTTTGTGAAAGATGATTTTTCTTCAAATTAAATTTAGTCAACACTAACAAGTGTAAATCGCAAACCAAGTCTTACTCATTAAACACAAATTTAAGAGTTGCCACTAATTTTTTTTACTAAATGTGATTGGTTACTTGAATGAATATATTCTTTTAAAAATATCCTAAGCTTGACAAAGGGTCTTTAAAAGAATAAGTTTTGATTTACATCTTAAAACTAAATTCGGGAGCTCGATTACACATAGAAAAGGTTATATCACCATTTTTTAAAATGGTCGGTAAAAGAGGTGTCTGATAGGATGGTTACCTGAAATGACGATATCAGGCTTTGGAAAATCTTTGCCAAAATTTTCACCAATTTTATTAAGATCTCCTTGGATAAATGTAGCATTACTTATTCCATTCAGCTTGGCATTTCTATGAGCATCTGCGATGGCTTGAGCAACCACTTCATAACCATAAACATGTCTAGCCCTGAAAAATAGAAAAAAATGATGGCAAAACAGAATGTTTACATGGCAGCTCCCTACATATGAGATCATATTAACAGAGGCTGGGGAGGGAAATACTTTTTGGCAAGTGTTAGACCAATAGTTCCTGTTCCACAAAATAAGTCAAGGACAATTTCAGAGCCATCTCCTCTCAGGCCAGCACAATCTTCAATAAGTTTATAGAGGATCTCCGCCTAACAGTGCAGAATCATTTCAGTAAAGGTCATGAAAAGTAACCATGAAGCAAAACAATGAAACATACAAGCAACAAAATTACAGTGAAAAGAAGCATGACATATGAATGCATTCAATATCAGTCAAGATAAGTACCTGATGAGTATTTGTCTGGAAAAAAGAGTTTGCAGAAATTTGAAATGTTAGACCTCTCAAACTCTCTGTGATTGTAGATTTTCCATACAAAGTATACTCCTCCTCCCCGACAGATGTGTTACCAACAGAAGAATTTACATTATTCATAATGCTAACCTATAAATCATCAGGCAAACAAACAGAAATACATAAATAATTTATCTTGTTGCTAAAAACTTAATGATAATATGCTGAGCAAGATGCCTTATCTAATGGAGAATCACTTTCAAAGTATATTATGACCACTTTAAAGATGAGTTTCAATGAAAACACCAACGGGAAAGATGGAAGAGCATAAAAGATGTGAAAATAAGAGTCACCACAAAAAAGAACATGACTACTCAGAAGCCAAGGACAACCAAGCGTCCAACATTTTCCTTGACTTGTATATTCTCTGGGTAGAAGAAAAATAATTAGGAAGACACTTAGGGTTATAAGCAAATGCTAGCATACAATCAGTCCATCTTTCCCATTCTCAAGCCAAACCAAACTAATAAGCCAAAAAGAATGAAAACTGTGCAAATTTCATTGGGGATAAATCAGAACCTTTTATTTCATCATTAACTAGATGTAATATTAAAAGGAAATCACTCAGGAGCTCTCATTTCACTCGTTCATCATTAAGAATCAGCATTCCATATATATATATATATATATTTTAATTTTGTTGATGTTGATTTGTTGACAATAACTTTATGTCAAACTAAAGGGGAGAAAAACCATGACAAAGAATCACCTGGCTTAGACATCATAGAAAAATTTTCTCTGATCATGTCATTTGATGTGAAGAAATTTATGAAGCCTAATTTTGCATCAATTATCAGCTTAGATTTGCAGTCAGTCAAACCAATCCAACCTAGGATCTAAGGATGAAACAAGAGCAGTAAAAATGCTTGTTCAATCTCTGATAACTGGTTTTATCGGCTTCGACCAGATTTGGGATCATTCGATAGTGTTTGTTTTCAGAAAACAAAGCCATTTTCTGTTTTCATATTTTTGGAAGATAAAAACATGAGCGAAAACGTATTTGATAATTGAAAATGAAAATAAATTTTTAGAAAACAAAAATGAAAATGGGTTGCAATATAAAAACAAAAAATGATGTTTTCAATTATGAAAACAAGGGATATACATTACTTTTTTCCTTATGTTTTGCAAGTTACCATATTTGAACACTTTTAATGTCATTAATTAATAAATATATTATATTTATAATAGATGCCATTAACAGTAATATCATTGAATATTTTATTTATTTCCTTATTTTGCATTTTTAGAAAACAATTTTTATTTTCGTTTACCAAATACATTTTTAAGAAAACAAAAAAATAGAAAATAAAAACTATTTTCTAAAAAATGAAAATAAAAAATATTTTCTCAAATCAAACAGAGCCTTCAATTTTAATCCAATCCAAGAATCAAACCAAACATAAAAATTGGGAGATCTACAGTAGGTCAAAAGCTAACTGCACCATATAAACAAAATAAAGCAAACACATGTTGACAAAATTACGCATAATTAACACATACCACTTCAGGAATAGCTGAAATTTTCTCAACTAGGTGTTTCAGCAACTCTGGCTTGTAAGATGAGGTGACAAAGTTAACCATAAGTTCAGGGAGACTGGTCTTCATGTCTCTGGAACACAAATCATAATTTTGGAATATGAAGGGGAATATTGAGCAGACATGATAATTAGAGATCTATGAACTCAAAGAAAACATATCTTGAAACCTTCTAATTATTTTCTTATGATAAGTGAAAACATTTGACTATAATTGCATGAATAATACAAAAGACTAAAAGTTGGCTGCTGAGTGCTGAGTGCCAACTTTGCACATATTAAAATGAACCCTCTGAGTAATGATAGTTCCTTTAGTCACCAATTTCTTCCTTAGTCCACAAACTCACAAATCTCTCCTTTTTATAGTTAAAAATATCAAACTCCTTCATTTAAAAACAATATAAGTGAACCTATTACCCAAAAGAAAAAGGAGAGGGATATTCTCAGCACATTTAACTTAATAAGTAAAATAAGTTTAGTCAACCATGAATACTTGAAAACAATCCATCGATAATTGGAGTAAACTAATTTGCCAAGGTGATACATCAATATTTGATTTGGACTTTAATCAGACAAACTTCCATTGGGATCTTAAAATTTCTACCACTCAGATTCTGCTGACTTTTACTTTTCACTTTTTATTGTTCCTCTATTAGAGCCAGATAATCTAACAGATTATATTTTGCTAATTATTCAAAAAGGGGTTGACATGCTGCAACTTGCAAGAAGATGTACTAATTTTTTTGCAATACTAGTGTCTTATATGTGTAACCACCATAAAATGAGAAACAGCTCATGCTTAAATATGAAAAAGTAAGTGGTAGCATGTAAAACAATAAAACAAAAGTACCTTCCAGTTCTCAGAACTAGATGCTTAAGAAATCCAGCATGAGAGTGAACATTATATGGAGAAAGACCGAGTTCTGGATCTTTCCAAAGATCTTGGACAGTTGCAAGGATCTACATATCTAAAATGCAAGTCAAGCGAGTACGAAAAAACAAACTTCTATTACATAAAAAAATTCTACCTGTCAAGAAAATTTCAAACAAAATAGAGTGCATAATAAGAAAACTAATGAAGCTAGCTTGCACACGTTATGTGCCTTAAGAATAAACAACCCAAAGTAATTCAAGGAAAATAGAAGTACACACCTCGTTAGCAGGCTCACTTTGTAATAAACATTTGTCAATATTTAGTATCTTATCAAAATAGCCAGGAGCATGCAGTCCAAGTGCATAGTTCTCATTACCCTCTAGTTTCTTGTTTAATAATTCCTTGGGTAACCATTTCTGTGAACCAAATGAGAACTCCATCTACAGAAGCAGGAAAGTAGCAGCTGAGAATATCTCATATGCACACATTTATTTGACAAAAAAAATTGTAAATTATTAGACAATGCTGCTGAGAAAGTAAATGCTTATAAATCCAGTCAATTAGAAGTGGATTATAAGGTCAATAAAAATGCATGCCAGTGATCTCTATGTTCTTCTCTCACTTTAACCAATGCTGAAATACAATAGAAGATCCTGACAGAAAACTTGAATAGTGGCAGCGTAGAAGATGCCAGAAACGTTTTTCTTTCTCTCAAACTTTTATTGGATCTACTCATACCATGTTGATTACAATGTCATGATTAAGAATAATGCAAGTGTTCTCACTGTAGTCTACCTGATTCTAAGTTGTGAGTAAAACAAGTACCATTTTGTCTACATGCAATTAAACACAGCAAAACTATTTAATTGAAACTAAGAAAAAAGAACTTAAATCAAACAAGATCATGAGGTCCCTCCATATCCAAAAATTATAAGATACTCCAAAAATGGATCCCTTGTGATGAAGCCCCCATAAGAATCATAGGATTGAATTCACAGCAAATGCAGACCTCACAAACTACTTTACAATATATTTTAAGTAGCTAGCTAGAGAGACAAATATTGCAGTTTTAGCAAAGAATCAAACTAAGCCTTACTAAGATCTGTATTCCACACGAACCTTATTCCGATAATGGAACTGTATATCACAGGGAACAATGGACTTCATAATACTTGAGAAATCTGGGTTTTTATCAGAAAACTTTCCAACATAGATGACCAATTCACGTACTTGTTGCTCCTTTGCTTTGAGTTGAGCCTGATAAGACAGGTTTTGTGTTTTACAACCTCCACAGTATGATGCATACTCACAAGGTGCATCTACAAAGTCCCAATGAGGAGATATTGTCTTCAACTTGGTCACCTGTACATTAACAAAATAAAACAACATTATATTATTGTTAAAGGATCAAAATCCCCAGAAACCGATATTTGAACCCATATAACTCAATTCAGAAAATTTTAACCGACTACATTACCGTAAGGCCTTTCACAATATCATAAATCTTTTGGAAGGAAACATACAAGCAGAGTGAATGATCAAATGTGTAATGCTTCGGATTTCAGAAACACCTTTTGTGGACTGGAGACTACTCACCAACTGTTACTCTGTCTAAGATATGAACTCAAAATTAGAAATTTATAGACCGTAACTTGATTTGTTTCTAAGGTTTCACCGATTAGTCCCATCATTAGCACATGAAACTGTCTTTATAGATCATAAATTCAAACAATTGTGACACAAATAAGATAAAAATGCTGCTTTTAAATTAGTCCACCAAGCTTCCAACCTTAATTAAATCATCCAACTTAGATGAAATGAAATGTCAAAGAGCCAAGGCAATAAATATAGGAGTCAAGGTGTTTACTCCCAATTTTCATCCTCTAATATTAATGCTCAAAGTATTTCGTAAAAAGGATAAACTTAAAGAGAACAAAAGGGGAAAATTTTCAATAAACAAAACAAAAAAAGTGTCTTCTTTTTTCTACCCTTTCCTTCATTTACTTAGAACCAAATACATAGAAATCATCAACAAAACAGATGTAAAAACCAAATGAACAAAACCCAAAAGTCAAATTAAACAAACCAACTAAAAAGATGGTGCCTTTGCTGGCATACATATCATTTACCTCAGCGTAATTTCCTTTCTTACGACTAACACGGCCAATGAAACGTTCCCCAGGAAGTGCATTGTCACACAATAAAACAAACCCAGAACCTGCCACCTTGCAAACACCTTTCCCTTTAAAGGCCAAGCTCTCACATTCAAGCTCCAAGACTTGGTTTTTCTTCGGAAAGAATGCTTGTGAATTACTGTTGTTGGTTTTTTTGGCGTTAGCATCACCGTTGTGGCCATTGTCAGGGTGGATTTGGAGTGGGTCTTGACTGGGAAACGCGAGAGATGCGGTGCAGTGGATTTTGCGGAGCCATGGTCTAGTTACAGCGAAGTGTCTTAAGGCGTGGCTTGGGATGGTGGCCATATTAGGGGTTTTGGGTTTATGAAGGAGAGGGAAAACTGAAGAGATAAATATATGTGGTAGTTTACACTCTTGAAAAAGATTTTGCAGTCCTCTTGATCAAGTGATCCATGAATATAAGAATTTAATAAAAAGAGATCGAATTTATTTTTCAAAATATGTGTATAAAACATTAGTTTTTATGTGGATTTTTTAGTTAACTTGATTTAAGAAAGCCAGTTTAGAATTCGATTTTTTTTTTTTATGATTTATTTAAAATTTTACATGATAATTTTGATAAAATGTTTAATTTACAAGTTTATATAGTGTAAAGCGGACAAAAACTCTTTAATAAAAAAAAAAAAAGAGAAAAAGCTTTTTAATTTTTTTAATTATTTTTACACAAAATTAAGTATATTTCATCCAAAAAAAATTGTTAGAGTTTAAAAAATTTTATCTTTTATTTATCAAAAATATTTTATCTTTTAACATGAAATTTGTTTCAGTTAAAAAATAAAAAAAAATGAAAATTCGATTGGACCAACCTAATTTGTGTCAAGGGCTGCGGACTATTCTTTAACAGTCCAAACCCGTTTTACAATACGGGTGAAGAAAACGGGTTCAATTTTGTTTTCCAATAAATACCCAGATTCCAGATAAAAACCCTAACCCTAAATTCCTCTAAAAGAGATATCCTCTCTCACCTCCTGACCGGATAAGCAACGACAATCACAAATGGGTAATCCCTAAACTTCCGATATGATTTTCGCCCAAAGTTTTTATTTTTTGTTTAAATTTCATTTGATTTTCATGTTGTTTGTTGTGTGACGGTGACCGGCGTACAGGTAAGGTTCACGGATCGTTGGCACGTGCGGGAAAGGTGAGAGGGCAGACCCCAAAGGTGGCCAAGCAAGACAAGAAGAAGAAGCCTAGAGGTCGCGCCTATAAGCGCATGCAGTACAACCGCCGTTTCGTTACCGCCGGTTAGCTTATCTCTTTTTCTTCTTTACCATTCACTGTTGATATGCATTTTACTACTATTTGTGGAAAATAATATTAATTAAGGTAAAATTAGTAATCAATAATTTTATTTCCATTTTTTTTAATTTGGTTATGAGAATGAAAAGAGTTAATTCTGTTGTACTATGTGGTCGTTACTCGTTACTATGTTGGAATGTGTGGTTAATTGGTTTTGAACTTTGTTTCACAATTGATATGATAATATAATGAGCAAAGTGTGATGCCGTCACTGTTATATTAGTTGAAGAATGCTTGGAATATCTTACATTATCTTTAACGATTGATATGTTCTTGTTAGTGGTTTGGTTCAGTTTGTTGAGAAAATCCAATTCGAGTGAGTGTTTTATCTTTTCAATTTTAGCTCTGGTTGCAGTGAACCATTTCAATGCTGATTGTGCTGTTTTCTTAGGCCAACGGTTAGTGTAGTTCTTGTCTGTCCTTCCAAATCATTTCCTTTTCTTGGAGTTAGATTAAGTGCCATTTAACCTTCTGCTCTACAATTATTGTGAACGAAATTCATCTCAGATAGGGTGGATAGGGGCCTTGACTTTGTTAGTTTGTGTTATTTTTACTAGGAATTGTCAGGTCTTTATACATCATATACCTACATGGTCTTTTATTTGTTCATATTCTTAATTTCTTTTGAGATTTGCATGGTAGAAGAAGGCGTACCCCTGTTTTTCATCCCTCATTTTTGCATGGTATGAGCATCATGGATGGTGTTTTGATTTGCTGTATGCAGTTGTTGGCTTTGGGAAGAAGCGTGGACCCAACTCTTCAGAGAAGTGAGGCTGGACTCGTTGGAGTCCTGTATTTTATGATGTTTGAAAGTTTGATGGGAAAATTATATTGAAAAGTTTATAGCTTCATTAGCATCATATTGTTCCGACTCAGTTTGGAGCCTTTGTTTTAAGGAAATTATTTGTTTTGAAATATTTTTTTAAGGAAACTAAATACTAGATATGTTGATTTCAAATATCACCAAGAGCGTCGGTTTCCTTTCCTTTATGTTCTTTCATCTAAATAGGTCTGGTGTATTATTAATTGAGCTGTTCACTACTGAGCTAGTACGGGGTCTCTGAATTTCAACAAGTGATATGGTATGTAAAAGTTGATAAATTAAGATGGTTAAATCGGTCTGACTTTTGAGTCTCCTCGTAGATTCAACTTGCTCTGCAAAACGCTATTTAGGTTTGGTTTAGTTTAGTTTGGATTACAGGTATGGCTATCAATCGCATGTTTATTAAAATTAAAAAGGGGTTTAAAGATTAGAGTATGGGTGATCATTTTCTTTCTAGAGGGCAGCAGCATTAATGTTGCTATTGAAAGTGGGTTCAAAGACCTTTTAGCAAGGTTTACAAATCCAATTTGCTAACATCTCCATTTCGATCATTAGGGATGATAATCCTCAATCAATCAAACCCGAAAATATACAGACAGCCAGTGGATCTTCCTTTCTCGTCCATTTTAGAGCCATGTTCTGGTTTATGTTCGGTTGTATCTAAGTCGCTGTACTGGACAAGTTCTCCTGGTTCGTTTGGTTGAACCAACCCCTAATGTGAAAGCGTGGCCATAGTGGTCTGAACATATAGGGCCTCTCCTAAGGCTCTCGTCGACCTGAAAGTCATTTATCCATCAATCATTCTCATTATTGACAAGTCTTCATGTCTTATTGCATATGCATTTTTTTTTAAGTGGCACCATTTATCTCTTGTAAAAATCCATTTTAAACGGAAATTCCATTCATGAAAATCTAGTTTGGGAAATCCGTTGAGATTCAGCGAGACAATAGGGTCCAGATTTTGAGATTAACCAGGAGTTGTATTGCATGTTCTAAGTGCAATCCCTACAGTTGAAAGTTCCAACATCACCAGCGGACCTGCCAACCCAGGCTACAAACAAAAGACAATCTCAATAGCACAAACTCAAAGCAACAAAAAATTGTTCTTGTTACCAAATTCGAGATTTCTCCATCCCCACTTTTAATATCTCTTTCTTCTTTGTCCTTTGCTGTTTGGTTGCGCATGTACAGAGAAATCACGTATAGGAAAGTTCCATTAATATTAATTCCTACCATTCATTAAAAGCCGGCAGAATTCAAGAATTTAAGGGAATGTGTGAACTAATCAATATATAACTCATAGAAAATCATAGCCCAAACGCATGTAACCAACGAACAAATCTTTCGCTCCTTTTTATCTCTAAATCTCTTCGTCATCATTTTTACATTTATTGTTTATTTTCCCGGAGAAAAGGTCTTTGATTTCTTCGAAACATTTTGTCGCCATTGGCATACTTATTTTCCTTCATGTTTTACAAATACTTATTTGGCAATAAGTGTTTTACTTGCTTATTTATGTCAGTGATCCTATTCTATTATAAACCTTCCTTCACTCGTACCCATATTAGATGCGTTTCAAAGTTTTGGCTTTGTCATCTTGGGGAAAGGTTTTGATCCTAAAGGGGTGCTTCTTGGTTTGGTTTTAGAGGAAACAGAAATCCAGAAAGCTGATTTTATAATTGAGTGATTTAGTTATGGCGCAGCCAAGGGTGGTGGCAATGGAGGAAGGTAAGGACCCGGCTTCTGCAGTCAGAACGAACCTCTCCAGGGTTTTGCCTTTGAGACTCTTCCTATTTTGTTCGTTGTTTTTGTTCTTGGGCATTGGATTATCGATCATCAGTATGTATTCAGTACCATTTTTTGTGGTCCAGCGGATAGCTACCGTAGCACCATCCACTTTTCAGCCTTGGTTTGAAGAGGCTAATAGCACAGAAAGTTGGATTAGGCCTCCATCAAACTTGTCGCATACTATGAATGATACAGAACTATTATGGAGGGCTTCATTTGTTCCTCAAATCAAGGAATATCCTTTGAAGAGAGTCCCCAAGATTGCCTTCATGTTCTTGACGAAGGGGCAATTGCCACTGGCTCCTCTTTGGGATAGATTCTTCAAAGGGCATGAAGGGCAGTACTCGATATATGTCCATGCCCTGCCATCTTACATTGCTGACTGTCCAGCATCATCCGCTTTCTACGGGAGACAAATTCCAAGTCAGGTATACATTAGCAAACCTTTCATTTTTTTTTCATGTTATGGAATTACTTTTTTTTTTTCTTTTTTTTGTTACATAGTGGAGACTTAACATAAATTTCTTGTGCTAGTATTTGTTGAGATTTGTGATGCTTGCTTGGTTCATGCTTCCATTTATTTTATTTTATTTTTGGATAAATTGTATTTTATTATCCAAGAAGCAGTGAATTCACTGCTACAAAAAAACTGTACAAACAAATCAAGCAGCACAAGACTGACTCTACAAATATGTCTCTACTTAGTTCCCATCTCTCACATAACTCCTTTTTGACTTGATAAAAAAACAATGTTCGTTAATCCTGCCAATCTAAATCTGATCATTTCCTTAATTTGACTCCGAATCCGCACTCCAGTACACTATTCATTTTGAAACTGCCTTTTGTTTCTTTCTTTCCATATCAGGTATAAGTATGCCCTCCGGGCTAGCCTAAATAGGATAGAAAGGAAGGCCTCCCCTAATTGCCCATTGCAGCTCCTCTTCCCAGTCAGCAACCTCCCTGTGCAGGCTGCAAAGTCTCACAACTTGCTTCCAAACATCCTTTGAATAATTGCAGCTGAAGAAAATATGGTTTCTACTTTCTGCCTCCTGTTTATGCAACACACAGCTTCCATCTATAATAATTACCCATGAACTCATCCCATCCTTAGTAGGGATTCTGTTAAGGACAGCCATCCAAGCAATAATGGCACAACTGGGAATGTGTAATTTGCACCAAATGAGCCTGTTTCATGTTACTTTTGCCTGCTTAGACCTCGTTCACCCATTTAAGTTGTTGTTATCAAATTGATGTTTATGTTTGTCCTTGTTAGTTTATGAAAGAGTCATGATATTTATGATTACTGTTTTACAGAATTCTAAAGGAGTCTATATTATCTCGAGTCATGTAGTTTACTGATATATAGGAGCATGAAAAACTGAGTTTGTCTCCAGTTGAAGGCTTAATAAAAGTAATTGTTTCTTTGTGCTGCCATCTCTTTCTTGTTTGTCTTTACTGAGCTTTGGAGTGTAGTTAGCGGAGGTAGCTGCACTTGAAGCTTGTTCTGTTATTTCAAGGTTATGTGAATTAACATGATGTTGATGAATAGAACATAATTCTGTGACATGTAAGCAGAAATTAACAACTTCAAGGAAGTTGTTTAACATTTTGGGGTGGATGCTGATTGAATTTTCATCTTGACTGGTTGTTGATCATTTTCTTTTTGTTCTAGTCAAATAGAAAAGTTTCATCTTCTTTGTCCCACAAGACTATACAAAATGCATATAGCCATTGCTAACGAATGTGGCTCAAATGTATAACCCTTGTCATTTAGCAAGTTCTTAATATGTTTCTGGAGAAAACACTATCCTACTTTCTTATATGTTAAGCTTTAGTCATTTTGGTTGCTTAAAAGTAATTACAAGGGAATCAGTTCAAAGTATTGTGGCAATAGTAGAGCAGGTTTTGCTCTGCAGCATCCATCGACTATTTCTTCCTCATGATGCCTGGTGTTTCTTTGTTATCTCAGTACTCTACTGTTTCTGTTTCATTTGCTCTTTGGTATCTTATTCTAATAAGATATGCACATCATACAATTTGTATGTTCATCTATTCTCCCCATTTGCTCTTCACCTCAACTGCCGCTTGAGAACTGAGAACTCTTTTTTGGGTGGGTTCTGTCAGTTTGGACTTTTGATGGAGTAAAGGGGGAAGTGGTGGCTGGTGCAATCCAACTAGGGCGTCAAAGCATCAAAAATAGCCTTCATGAGAGATACACTTGTCAAATAAAATACTTCTGTTATTGTTTACACAATTGGTTGCACTGTCATCTTAAAATATGATTGTGTTTTGTGCTTTGTACCATCACTTGCCAACATTCTTGTATGATATTTTCCTTTTTGTGTTTGAATTGTAAATATTTTTCTGAATTTTTAAAAAATTGTATCTGCAAAACCTTGATCTGCTTTTCAATGCGTTTGAAACACTAGCACATGAAAAAAGAATAAGAGAATGTTTTTCCAACTAAGAAATTCTATAGGCACAACATCACGAGTTGTTCTTTGAAGATGTGTGTTTAAATTATTTGTTTTTCATTTTTATTTTTTGCAGGTGGTGGAGTGGGGAAGAATGAGTATGTGCGAGGCTGAGAGGAGGCTCATTGCTAATGCATTGCTTGATATCTCCAATGAATGGTTTGTTCTCTTGTCTGAGTCTTGCATTCCTCTGCAGAATTTTACCATAACCTATCGTTACATATCAAGATCAAGACATAGCTTCATGGGTTCATTTGATGAACTTGGACCAGATGGGAGAGGACGCTACGATCCACGCATGGAACCGGAGGTTACACTTAGTCAATGGCGTAAAGGGTCTCAATGGTTTGAAGTTGACAGGAGGCTTGCAATTAATATAATTGAGGACACCACCTATTATCCCAAGTTTAAGGAGTTCTGCCAGCCAGCTTGTTATGTGGACGAGCACTATTTCCCCACAATGCTGAGCGTCCAGTTGCCTCATCTATTGGCAAACAGGACTCTTACATGGACAGACTGGTCAAAGGGTGGTGCTCATCCAGCTACATTTGAGAAAGCTGATATAACAGAAGGTTTCTTTAAGATAATTTTTGAAGGTCAGTTATGCCTTTATAATGGCCAACCATCTATAGTTTGTTATCTTTTTGCAAGGAAATTTGCTCCAAGTGCTTTGGATCCTTTATTAGGATTGGCATCCAAAGTTTTAGGGTATTGACATAGGGGATGTTATTTTATACTTTCCTTTTCATTCTTAGAAACCTTCTAATTGGTCAATCTAATTTCATGCATGCTTTGATTGAAAAATGTTTTAAAGCTGGCTTTTAATAATTTAAACAAGTTTTTGAGCTTTCTGTTTTATTTACAATCAACAAGAAAAGCTAATTATTAAAAAAACAAAAATCCAAAAAAGTTAATCTAACTGTACCCTGAGAATTATACAAAGTTCTTCAAGTGAAGGGGGAAAGGGAGTTTTTTTTTTTTTTTTATTTATTTATCAAAATTATACTAAACTTTAAATTATAGTAAAAATCTCCAAAAAGAATGGGGAAAAGAAAGAACAAATACTTAAATAACTTTGTAGATTGCTATTTTGGACACTCTTATTAATGAACTTGATGCATATGTTTGATGTGTTCAACAAAAATAAGGCTGTATGTACAGCAGCACTATGAGGTAACAACCCTAGTGAGGGCAGTCAAGAATCTTCACAATTCGTCATGTAAATTTTCTTCTGGTGAATGAAATTTTGGCTCTGCCGCAAGGAGATACCTAGCAGCCAATGATGCATGAAGTGCAGCACCATAAGGAAGAACATTTTCATTGATCATAAAGTAGGGCGAGTGGACGGATTTGAGCGGTGGACTGGTCTCATCTTGCATTCCAAGAAAGAAGAAATACCCAGGAATTACCTCTTGGTAAAATGCAAAATCCTCAGATCCCATCAGTGGTTGCATGTCTTTAATTTTGTCAGCGCCAAGCATATCCCCTGCAACTTTCTGGAAGAGATCGTGCAAGTCCTTATTGTTTATGGTTGGAGGGAAAAGGGGTACAGGCTTCTCCTTTTCATAGAAATCAACACTAGCACTGCACCTCTGCACAGCAGCTTGCCCTTTGATAACCTGTCACTTGAGTAAATCAGATTCTTGGGATCGTTAAATTATAAACATATGTAATTAGTTCTACCTTCAAAATGCCAGAAATCTAGGACAAAGCAATATATGAACCTCTTCCAAAACTTTTAGTTGTTCACAAGGCTTTTCATTTAATGCTGGAGTATTATATTTTATTTTTGTGTACTTTAAAAATTGCTCAATGATTTGTTTAATGATTCAAAGTATCTAACTTATATACCTCCTCAATCCGCTGCTTAAGTTGCGTTAAACTTTCTTTTGAAAATGCTCGGAAGGTCCCACCAATTGTAACTGAATCAGGAATGACATTGAAAGCCCCACCTCCTTGAAATTTTGCAACTGTGACCACCTACAAGGAAATTCTTTGTTAAAGTAGATCCAACAGTATCACAAAAAAACATTTTACTGGTTAATTGAGTCAGGGAAAATACGACACTAGAAGGGAAAAAGTTATTGTGATGAATATTAGTGGAGAGGAAGGATGGCTTACACATCAAAAAGTATATCCTGCAGAGTAAAGAAAATCTAAGAAAAGTAACCAAAATTCCACTAGGTTACAAGTTATAAGTCATTTTTCTGAATAAAGGTACATAAGATCCAAAGCAAACTTCTCTGGGAATGATTTTCAATAAATATAACATGTTTTAGATTTAAATGTCAAATCGAAACCAAAATTTTAGAATTTCTCTCTTTCCATTTTTAGTTTAGAGGGAATTTCAGAACTTCTTGAAGAGTTCCTCATCTCATCACCTCCTTTTCCTGACTTTCAATTCTGATATAACATTACTAATACCTTCAGACCTTGGTTCTGTTCCCTAAGCAAAGGTTCATAGGATTGAGTAATTTCAGGTTCTATATAAAGAAATATACATGCTATTAACAAAATCTATATAAATCCATTGCTAAATTTTCTTAATGGAACACTTAAATACACCACAACACCAACAACCCTTAAAATGTAAATGCAAGCACATAACATAATTTCTCAGCTACTTGTTACAATGGTCTCTCAAGCCATCTTGCTTAGATGGTAAACATGACCATTCACTCAAATGAACATCATACCAACTTGTGAATACAATTAGCCAGATTAAAATAAATTTTAGCAGCCGTATCATGAAAAAACTCATATGCATGTACTTTAATCTTTAAAAGGTAAAATTTTCTGTCTCAGCATCATTGCAAGGAGAACCACCAAACTTAACTCCAAAATCCAAGTGAGGGAATCATCTTGATTGCAAAAATTTTTAAAAAAGCTACTTTGGGCTATATAAGCACAAAACAGTATCTATAGCATAACAACAACATTCAAATAAGTATGCACAGGAAGCAAAGGATATCATACAAAACTTAATGTACCTGGGAATCCAGTGGATCAGCTTCCCGTGAAACAAGATGTTGTAGGCTAACTATAACATTAGAGGCTGCCAAAATTGGGTCTATTGAATGCTGAGGAATGGCTGCATGACCTCCTTTTCCACTTATTACTGCATCAAAGAAGCCACTCCCAGCCAATAGAGGACCGGGCCTGGAGGCCACTGTACCAATAGGTCGATCAGGTGCAACATGCAGCCCAAAGATTGCATCAACATTCTCTAACACACCTACATCTAGCATCTTCTTTGCCCCTCCACCTCCTTCCTCAGCTGGTTGGAAAACAAGAACAACTGTACCCTGATTAAGAAATTAAACTGAACAGCATCAAGCATCCATAAGGGAAAGAAGGAAGCTAACAGCCTTACACAGTTAAAACTTTCATGGGACAATGTGGATATCAATGGGAGAATACCCAACAGTTCTCCAACTAAGCAGATCGCTTCAGTTCAAACTTCAAACAAACTATAAGCAGGCTTTAAACGCTATTCCATTTTTTGTCTAAAAAACTAACAAAAAGACTACTTTCATAGAAAAAATAATTCTATCATGCACAGTAATCTCTTCATGATTCTACCCAACAGTTCTCCAACTAAGCAGATTGCTTCAGTGCAAACTTCAAGCATACGATAAGCAGGGGCATCCAGGTCCTGTGATAATTGATAAACTCTTTAGTTTTGTGGTTCAAATAAATTGTGTTCTCTGGCAGAGCAGCAAGGACCGACATTTGATTAATGAATGTTTCACCAGCATTTCCTTCATATCATATATTAAAAGGTGAAATAGCAATTTTGAAATGATAAAATACCTTTTTAATTACTACGATTTAAGATTATTGAAGAAAAAAACAGCCAGAACTATCAATAAGGCCTAAATAACAAGCTACAGGCTCTACAGATTGGACGTGGAAAAATTAATAATCAAAATTGTTCGAGTGAAATGGTATTTAGCACCCTTACTATGCAAATCATGACCAGGAGAGCAATAATTCAATCATACAACAAACTATAAAACATAAGTTTGGGTGGACTAAATATGAAATTAGCAAGAGAAAATTGATGTGACACACCTTCAACTCTTCAAGATGCTCTTTTAGTATTTTTGCAGCACCAAGAAGCATTGAAACATGAGCATCATGCCCACAAGCATGCATCTTCCCCGGATGTTTACTCTTGTGCTCCCACTCGACCAGTTCCTACACATTTTAACAGCCCATTAATAGAAGTTCACAGTTGATTCCTTTCTTCATACGATATAAAGTGGAAGATAAAAATGGAAAGCAAAGCGTCAAGATCATCAAATACAATCTGCGGACGAGAGTTTAACTAAAATCATCCTGGTTTAGACAAGCCAAATCTCATATTAGCACAATTGTAAATCGTAAGTTCAAATTCAAAATGATAAAGTCATAAAGTGCCTAGAATTGAATATTAAGCTCAAACCCCATAAATCCAACTTTTAATCAAAGTAACTTAACTCAATAAAAAAATTACTAAATTATACAATAATCAAGCGTCATCTTTGCAGATTAAGCTTGAGACAAGGCTAACTTTCGACAACCAGATTTTCAAAATGAATCCGGAAAGAAATTAAAAAAAAATGATTCGAACCTGCATCGAAAGAGCATCCATATCTGCCCTTATTGCAACAAACGGAGGTTTACCAGTTCCAACAAAGCCAACAACACCAGTAACTGAAACTGGGTATTTATAAGGAATGCCCATTTTATCCAATTCTTGTCTGATCAGCTTACTAGTCTCAAATTCCTCATATCCTAATTCAGGATTCTCATGTATCTTCCTCCTAATGCCCACCATCCAATCAACAAGCTCCTGTCTTTTAGCAAAATCAAGAAACTTCTTGGGGAATTCAGACAACCCATGTGATGAGCTCAAAGAAGAAGATGACAAAACAACTATCGTATTAAGCAACTGCAAAATCAAAACAAAAGAGACCAATTTGAAGAAACCCATGCTTGATTTTATATGAAAACAAGATTAAAGCTTGAACTTTTAGGACAAAGAAGAGAATCTGTAGGTAAATAAAATTGGGTTCGTTTTTTTTTTATTGAGAATTGACAAAGATTTTGATTCTTCGAATCCCAACTCAGCGCTCAACAGTGTTTTGTCAGTAGCAGGCGCAGTTGACTTGTTATAAAGTATACTCCTACTAAGCCTCAGGTAGGTGCGCTCATCACATTCCACAGATACTCCACGTGCCGAATTGTATTACTTATAAAATAAAAATTTATAATTAAATACTTACAAAAATTAGTATTAGATAATTTTTTAAGTAGATACACATATTTTTTTAAAAATATATTTTAAAATAAATATCATCTTATTAATTTCGCTTCTAAAATTTAAAAACTCCTTGGAATAATTTCTGGACTTACAATTTCATTCCTTCATGCATCTTGTCTCCCTTAACCAATACAGTTCACCTTTGAAGATCAGCTATTAACCCTCAAATGTCACCTGAATGCCAAAATCAACATCACATTATGGACTTCCCCACATAAGCTTTAGAAAAAAATAAATTATAAAAATTTAAATTAAAAATTAAAAATTAAAAATTTTATAAATAAAAATTAAAAAAATAAATAAAATTAAAATTAAAAATTAAAAATGGAATTTTTATAAAAGAAAACCAAAATAAAAAATTATTTTAAAAAATAAATCTGAATTTTTAAAAAATTTCAAAATCTTGAAAAAAAAATAAAAATTCAAAATACGCATAAAAAATTAACAATTCAAAATTTTTCTTAAAAAAAAGGGAATTTTTAAAATTTTTTGGTTAATTTTTTAACAAATTAAAAGAAAGAGATAAATGTTTAGGGCAAGCTTAATTGGAAAGTTGTAGCTAGTTAAACACTGAAACTTGATAATAATTAAATCTAGAATTTGAGATTCAATTCAATCTTAGTTAAAGTTTTTGAAGGTGAAGGGAAGAGAAACGTTAAATGGCTCCAAGCTTTGCCAAAATTTTCTGACTTCCTACCTAATGCCACCACTTCTCAATGGTTGAAGGTCAAGATGAACAAAAGAAAAGAGTTGGGGAAAAAATTCATATTGTTCCACAAGTAGATGCAAATACGGACAGAACAATTGGAAATTTTCCAATTGCCAAAATTAGTGCTTTTCCCTTTTCCTTTATTTCGCAAAAGCTGGGATGTGCTGGTCAAACAGGATATCTTCAATTGGTTACATATATGTGATACTCATTCACCATGATGGATTAATTATCTCCTAATCTTTCATCTCAATAACAGATGCAAAGATCGAAGATGAGACTCCAATATTTGATCTTAAAACTGTAAAAATGGCCTAATCGAGCACACAACCTGGTAAAACTTAGGCATTCTATCAACAAATGCATTAATATTACAGGGAGAGATGTAGTTAAGTGGGGAATGTAAGCCACAATGGTGAATTCAGTTGATCTACCTACAACTATCAAGTATCTTTGTGTTTTCTATATTAACTAGATTCTTTTTCTGTGATCTTAAACCTCAAGGTCACATACCCTAGAAGAAGGGGATATAAATGACTGATGCCCATAAAAATCAGCAGCATAACCCTAAAGACCACATTTCTACATAAAGCAGAAAACATGTTAAATGATAGACCATCAACCAAACAAATAGTTCATCCAAAAACGAATGCTTATGTTCAGCAGCATCAACCTAATCCATTCACTTGACTAGCAGGAAAAGATTGAACCACTTATCAACCCTAACAGGCATATATACCTTCTTTAACCATGGGATAAGCTCAAACATCATGACCATAAACACCGACACCAACACCAACCTGGAGACATCTCAATGCATTCCAACAGATCCAGTCATCCCATATACCACATTATCACAGGGATTTCAGGGGAAAAAGTCAACAATTAAAATTCAAGCTAAAGGCATCAGCTCATTCATATGAAACACACACAGCATATAACATTATAAGGAAAACCAAATTCAGTCAAATATAACAGTGATATTATGTATCACAAGATCATTCAAATTAATTCCACCATTTCTTTCAACCTCTAGCCTTAAGCTCTGCAAGCCGCCTTGACAAATCATCCTCATCAACCTTCTCCTCTGTCTTGGTTGACACAGCATGAGCAGCTGGTTGTGGCAACCCAACAGAGACCTCCAACCCATAATCATCAGCCACTTGCTGCATCAAGCTGTTGACCTCACCTTCTGGTGTGGACAATGAAGTAGAGCCAGCCATAGCACTCTCCATAAACTCTGCCTGGACCTCCATATTCACAAACTGCTTCTCGAATTGATCCATTGTCTCTGACATTTTCTGCAAATTGCCTAAAACAAAAAAAAAAAAAAAAAACTCAAAATTTGACCATGTTCACATCAAAATTAATTTACAGTATATAGAAAAAAACAAAGAAGAAAAATTACAAAAACAATTGAAATAATTTTACTTTAGGCTAATATCTCCACAATATTTTTGCGTTCGGTTAAAATTTTACCCAAAAATGTAATTTTTTTTGTTCTCTTCAATTCTACCCTAAATTTCCCTAATTATTAATTTCTCCTAAAAATTATTAGCATCCGAATAGCCACAAAAAAGAAAGACGATCAAGGATTTAAAAGTAAAATTTCACGGAGAAATTACCGGTGGCCAAGGAGGATTCGAGTGACTTGACGATATTAGCCATGGACTTGTTAATGGTGGTCATCTTAGCTTGGGTATCGAGCCTGGCAACCACAGCATCGAGTCGCGAGGCAAGCCGGAGGTAGTTCATCTGCTCAGTGCGCTTGCGAATAGCGTTCTCAGCATAGATCCGAGCTCCGTCCATGTTACCTTTCTCGATCGCCTTCTTCACCTTCAATTTCTCGGCTTTCTCTTCCTTCTCGCACTTCCTCGCCTGGCGTTGCAGCGATTTGGACGTGAACTTCAGGTCCATGATCTGGTTCAAGAGCTTCTCGGTGTTTCCCATGGCTGAATTCTTTGTTTGTTTGCAGAGAAAATATTGATTCAAGACAGAAATTTAAAGAATAGAGTTCGGAATTTGGAGGGTTTATTTTTATGCTTTAAACGCGTTTTGACTGTGCTTTGCTTCTTGTTTTGGATAATTATTATTATTATTATTATTTTTTTTTAGGTTCAAGGAAAATGGGACGAAAGTAGAAAGCATCGTAAAGGGGCAAGAAAAAAGTGGGCCCAACTTTAAATACTGCTTTTGGGCCTCTAATTACAAAATTATAATTTTTCTCCTAAATAAGCAATAAAAAATATGTAATTACAAAATTATAATGCACAATGCAGCTTTTAGACAACTTTTTCATATTCTTTCTATTTTTTATTTTTAAAAATAAATGCTGCAATGGTTGATTATAATGCCAAAAAGGGGTTGTTCTTCACAATTTTGTTCTTCTCGTTATTCTTAAACATTACATTTAAATGATCAATAGTTGTATATGGTAATAAAGTATTAAACTTTTGTTTAAGATAGATGATTTTTTTTTAATTATGATGTTTAAAATATGACAGAACAATTGAGAAATTCAATATATAAAAAATTTCCCAAGTCTTATCTGATTTCAACTTTCAAATGCCAAGTTAGCAATCCAATCTTATGTCACAACGCAGTATGCATTTAATAGATTTGAATGCTCTGTGACCCTGTAAAAGAATAAGGGAATATATATGAGCCAACACGTATTTCTGCTGCAATGCTGCTATTAATTCCAAAAACTATGCTGCCAGGAGAATGATAATACATAAATCAAACTTGGCATATCACTTTCATCCTCATAACTCCACGTATTCCACAACTATCATCACCTTTAAGCAAATTGTAGCAAAGAGACACTGAAAATGGATTGAAAATCGGCTGTGATGTAGGTATTTTCTGTTTACAGAAGCCAAGAAATTAGAAATGCATAGAGGAATAGAGGATCGTTGCCTCATGGCGTCATGATCTAATAGACTCATTACATTCACAGGATTACGCACCTCAGCCCACCCAGACCAAAAATGCATTTTGGGTTGGGGGGAACAAACAAAAGAGGAAGTGCCAGGTCAAATCTGGACGTGTCACTCTCTTGTTAAACAGTCCAATGTGTCTCTGTTTAACCTTTAACCTCTCCCTTAATACGCGACTCAGCAGACACCTGTGCATAGATTCGTATACAGATTTACGCATGTAGTTGTCTTCTATGTACTCATCTTCTACTCGTCTTACTTCGGCATTTTGATAGAAGCTCCTTAGCCTCCCCGCCCCCGCCCCAACACCCCATCTGGCTGTATTTATTAAGCTAAAAAGTAGAATCAGAAACTAATGTAGGCCTATATCCCATTTTGATGGAAAGTTATCTCCTTTAAATGCATTAATCTTTCTTTGATCCCAAACACAGAAAACCCGGTAGGCTTTTAGGTTCAAAATAGACAGCTGTTTCTCTAAAAAAATTTATAGACCAATTTATACCTTTGAGCTGACACTTTAAAAAGACCTTTTTTTTCCATAGACAGCCAAAAAAAGGAAAGAATACACCTTTTGTTAATTTAAAATGCATTTTGCTGGCAAAAAGGGATCCCAAATAGGTTATTTTTAACTGATTCCAAAGAAGCCAGCGCCCTAACTCATTGGTTCTTTTAAGCTACAGTATTCTAGATTCAGGTGTTTTCTTTCTTTGGTGGTTTTTGGGTGAATTTGAAAATGACTGGGGTTGGAGAAGACCAAATTGTTTACGAGATTGCTGTGGTGGTTCCGAAAAGGAACGTGAAGGAAGACAATGACGGTTTTGATTGCGTTGAGGTTCTTGTAAATGAGTTTAGAAATGTGGGTTTGGTTGTTGAGAGAGTTCTTGGCCTTTCAGATGAGTTTATCAAGGTTTGATTTTTTTTTTTCCATTTTTGAACATTCTCTATATTGTTCTGAAGAATAATTTTTTGTCCCTTTTCGTTTAATATTTTTTAAAATATCTTAATTTATATTTTGTTTTGCCATCTGCTGGTTGTTACAGTAAATCTACAATTATAATACTAGTAAAAGATGTATTCTTTTTTCCTTTTGGCTCCTGCTAATTGCTTTTTTATGTGTGTTGAATATGCAAATATGGTAATGTACATTCTTATTAATAAACTCTTATGTGCAATTGTGGTTGTTTTTTTCCTGATGTTCTGTTGCATACTGGTTAATGACAATGGGTTTCTTCAGTGAAAGGAAATTTTCTGGTCTTAATTACTTTGAGTGTTCCCTGTTAGAAAATGTGAATGCATTTGTTTGAGGATTTACCTCCAGCCCTCCTTTTTTTTTTCCTGAAAAATAGAAGAATTTTTTTAGCAAATTTGCTTGTAAATCTGAATTAAACATGTTATTTACAATATAGAATGTTTTTTGGAATTTTGACTGTATTGCCTATTCTGCCTTATTGCTCAATTGAGATTGTTTTCCAAAGTCATGCTTGAGTCTTTTTTATAGTTGTCATTCTTTTGATTGTTTCCAAGTGGTTGGGATGTAAAGTTAATCTTGAGTTAAGTTGCTTAGTAAGTATCCTTCTTTCAGCTGGCAGCACCATTAGAGACTTTGGGAACAGCTGCAGCCAAGCTGCAGATGAAGAAGCCCACTCATATTGGTATTAATTATTTGGCTTAGATATTGATGGCTGTCCTATTACTTTTACTTACCTTTATTTTAGGTATCGGCTTGGTTTGACGAAAATTGCTGATAAAGCACTGCACTTCAGGAATTGATTTACAATTTGGGTGGGAAGATGTCGAAGCTTTTGTGCGGCAGCCTGATGGCTCATTGTTCAGTTGGTGTGAGCGTTTCCAGTGCTACCGTCACTTGATAAATGAAACTGTGAGTTATTTAATGTACTTCATCTTACTTGTTCTGTCTTTGTAATTCTAAAATTATTTTTTTATGAGACTTCCATGCATATGCGCACATTTTTTACTATTTCGATGTTCTCTATATAGTAAAAAATGTACATCAAAATAGTAAAAAATGTGCACATATGCAAGGAAGTTTTGCCCTGTTGTGTTTGTAAACAAGTCTTTGGATAGGTAGCATGTATGTATAAAAACTTTGAACTTTTTGCCTCTCGGCAGACCAGTAATCAAATAGAAATTTTACAGGTTAATAAGAATCCAGACTTAACTTTAAAATTTGATCATAAAGAGATCCGATGGGAAGCCGGGGAATCATTACTTCAGAGGTTGGAATTGGAAGGAATTGTTAAACAAGTTTTCCCTATACATGGTATGCTTAGTTACATTTATTAGCAAATTACCTGCAGTTCTCATGTTCTCTAAGCCATGAAGATAAATCGTGTCTATAGATGAAACGAAGAGGAAGAAGCTACTCTGGAGTTGGGCATTAAATTGTTCAGACTTCACAACTCAACCAATTGATGAGATTTATGCATATTTTGGGACAAAGGTGATCACAACTTCACAGTTAGCAAACTTTTGCAATGCTTAGTCTATTGCTTAATTGAGGAATTTGTGCATGGTAGATTGCAGTTTATTTTGCTTTCCTTGGAATGTATACACGTTGGATGATTTTTCCTGCTGCATTTGGGCTTATATTGCAGTTGGTTGATTTTGGGTGAGCCTCACCATTTCTTTCTTCTTGGAAGCCATTTTTGTGTTGACAGTTGTTGAATTGATTTGTTCTTGGTTTTAGTTTAATTGCTTGGGTGTAATGATTTTTCCAGATCATTAAAATTACTAGTGCTCCCCATTTTCTTTATAAGCACAATATTGTGGGCTGTGTTGTTTTTCCAATTCTGGAAACGTAAAAACGCGGCACTTTCAGCCAGGTAAGTTCATTTCATATAAATAGAAGGCCATCTTTCCAAACATGAGGCTTGTTCTTCAGCATTTCTGATTTATTTATTCTCTCTCTCTCTCTCTCTGGATGGCGTAGGTGGCATCTTAATTTTTCTGTCAGCACAAGCCAAGGATACAAAGTGTTGGGGAGGGAGTGGAGCTCCCTACATACTCCCATGGAACTTACAAAAAATTTGGGAATTGATAAAACAAAAGAGAAAGAAGCATTTCAAAGATATGAATGGTTTGGTTATCTCAAGCGATTCAGAAATGATGCTATTGTTATTTTGAGTATCATCTGCCTCCAATTGCCATTTGAGTTGGCTTATGCTCATCTGTATGAGGTCATCGAGTCTGATATTGTGAAGTAAGATTCCACATCTCTCTCTTTTTTACCTTGAATTAAATTTGGTTATGCCTGATTAATAACTTGTGTTGATTTATTTTCCTTGGCAGCGACTACAGTCTGTGTTATGAAGTTCTTTTCTTCTTATCCTATTTAAATCACACATTGTTTTACTTTATGTGTACCATGCTTTTGGTTTCAGGTTTGGATTAACTGCAGTTTATCTTCTTGCAATTCAGTGCTTCACACAGATTGGGGGGAAGATGTCAATCAAGCTCATTAAGTACGAAAACAATGAAAATACTGAATATCGGGCTGACAGCTTGGTCTACAAAGTATGATTAGAAAGTGATTTGTCATTCAGTTTTCTTTTTCCTTGAAAGGAAATTTACTTGAAGGATTCAATTTATATTTCAGGTGTTTGGTCTTTATTTTATGCAATCATACATCGGGGTTTTCTATCATGCCCTTTTACATCGCAACTTTATGACCCTTCGCCAAGTATTGACCCAGCGTTTGATGCTTTCTGAGGTGAAGATAATTGAAATTCATTACTTTGTACTAACACCTTACAACTTCTTCGACTTAAGTGCTTTTGAACTGCAAAATGCTATTTAGGTGTTGGAAAATCTGTGGGAAAATTCTTTGCCATATCTGAAGTACAGCTATAAAAAATATAGAGCTGTTAGGTAAGATCTTCCCATGGAATTCTGTGTTCATGATCTACTTAGGATAGGGTACTGCTTAAGTTTTTACGTTTCATTCTAATGCTTCTCTTTTGTTAAGAAACAAGAAAAAACGTGAGAAAGGTTCAACTGGGAAGATCCAATTCACTTCCAGGGTGGAGAAAGAATACCTAAAACCCACATATTCTGCAAGCATTAGTGAGGAACTGGAAGATGGGCTGTTTGATGGTAATGTGCCAAATATGGAGTAAACTAATTGGACTGTCAGAAAATTGTGAAGATAATCTATTCTATTATTTTTCTTTCACATTACAATAACTTTGGCATGCAAATTAAGTTGAGTTTATTTGACTCTACTTCCTGCCTAGAATAACATATGTGTAAGTGTGTTTGTGCTTAGAGATGTGAGGCCTGAGAAAAGATTTAATGCTAATCTTAAATTTCAATGAAGAACTTTTATACTGATTTGCTGTTAGATGTAAAAAGACATTCTGTTTTATTTTGATTATAAAGCACCACCATAAACTTACAAAACACAGGTTTTTCTTCTACTTCATGAAAATTTTATAACATGTGCAGATTTTCTGGAGTTGGCACTGCAGTTTGGAATGATCATGATGTTTGCCTGTGCGTTTCCCCTTGCATTTGCCTTCTCTGCCTTGGTATATAATGCTTTTAGTGGTGCTTTCAACTGACTGCAAATATGTTTTGTTGTTAATTTCAGTTTAAATAATGTAAACTGAACTTGATAGTTCAATGTGTAGAACAACATGGCAGAAATTAAAACAGATGCCGTGAAGCTGCTTGCCATGTTGAAGAGGCCTGTTCCACGGGCTGCTGCTACAATTGGAGCTTGGCTAAACATTTTTCAGGTATTTTAACCATAAACATGTATGGAGTCAATCTGTCATCGGCCATCAGAAGTGCAAAAACTAGATGTCTTGATTAAGAGAACCTCATTTCTTTAGTTCTATTTGCTTTAGGCTTCTAGAATAAGTGATATAATCCAAAAGTTTGACTAGGATTATAGATCTGCTTTTACTTTCTGACTTTTGAAAGATCTTTTTATCAATCTTCACTAACTGCTCATCTATATTCTTTTTAGTCTTCAACTCTTACCATGATATTAACTGATATGGTGACTTTGAATTTCAGTTCCTAATATTGATGTCGATATGCACCAATTCTGCACTTTTAGTATGGTTATACGATCAGGAAGGGAAATGGAAAATAGAGCCTGGCCTTGCAGCAATTCTTGTCATGGAACATGTTCTGCTGTTGATTAAATTTGGCTTCTCCCGCTTTCTTCCTGAGGTATCTATATCCTCTTAATCTAGAATGCTTTGATTTGTTCATCTTTTAATAGCTAAACGCCTTAATGATTTGAAATAAGAAGCATTGACCTCTCTTTCATGACAGGAACCTGCATGGGTGAGGGCCAATCGGATGAAGAATGCTACTCAAGCACAAGACATGTGCACTAAACAGCTTTTGAGGAGCATTTCTGGGGGAGAAACGGCATCGGGTGTGTTAATTCCTAGAAAGAAACCTGATGGAACAGATAAAACAGACTAATGCAGAAACCCACCTACTGATGTCCGAGTTTTTCCTCAAACTCATTGCCTTAAAGAGTAGTTGAGCAAGATCAACAAATTGATGCTTCTATCAGTCGTCAAAGCTATCTGAGTTACAAATTTTGCAAACCATTCAAATATATATAGGTTTTCTTTTCCTTTTGTTTTTCCTGTAAATTTTAGTACTTCTTCAAGGATTGTTTACAACCGAAGTGTATGGCAGATTTCTTGTAACAATTTTCTTTATGTATAATCATTTCCAAAATAATCTGTCCCAAGTTATAAAAACTTTCAGACGAGTAGCAGGAAGATATTGTGTCCTTTACATTTAAACACCACGGAAAAAGATGTCACCCTCTCTTTGATGGGAAAGAAGAAACCTGCTTGCATTTTCCAGGCGTCAGCATCAACAATGTTCTCTTTGACGAAATTTCTGCCATTAAAGCATTGCCTCAAGTGTCTCTCATGAGTATCAATATCCGTTGCAAGAAATTCTGCTTAATTTCTCAATAATTAATAAAATTTTTGTACATTATTTCTGGCTTTTAAGAAAAGAAACAAATTTCTTCAGGTTAAAAATTGAAGAGAAAAAGATTTAACAATCAAAAGAAAACTATAGACATAAGAAATGAAGAACGCAAATAGGAGTCAAAGATGGCAATTCCACTCTGATAGAAACTATATACTAGGCAACAGGTCCAGAGCTGCTTATCTCCTTCGAATTTGACCTTTGTGGCTATGCATTTGCATAGAAGTTATACTGGTTGAACTTTATATCACCCATATATTTGATCCCATCTTTGGTTGGATGTCATCAGACAATTCTCATCATCTCAGGACTCAGATTTACAATTTTCAGCCTTAAATAGAATGAATTCCAAGTCCCAACCAGGAAAAAAAAAAGCCCTCAACATCTCCATCTGCAAACAATCAATACGATCTATGCATGTGATGAGCCTTGAGAGCTCCCATAACGATCACTTTTCCTGGGGCTCCCTAAACGACCACTTACTTGACGAGCATATGCCACAACAGCTTTAGCCCATCTCTTGATCCCAGCCTTGAACTTGTTAGAATCAAGGTCGTTTAATGATGACAGTGGTTCCATTGAAACCTCCATGAAGGATAAACATTGGTCAAAGACCCTGCGCCTTTTGTTAGTACAAGTAACGTTGCTATTGACCGCTTCGTCGCCATTGTCAAGAGCAACAGTTTTCTTGACAGACATGGTTATAAATATATTTCCTATGGGGGACCCAAAGAGAGTGCTGGAAATGATTACTCAAATGACATTCCTGAAAACCATTTATAAGGATGAGATATTGAACTATGATAAGTAACACGGTATATCCGAACGTGCAACAAAAGATTTCCATTTGACTTGACTTTTCAACATTCTGCAGTTAGATTCCTATAAAAACTGTGGTCTATAAATATAAACCGGGTTGAATTCTCTTATATGGTGAAGCTTTTTACTTGGATGAAACAGTAAAATGATCCCAATTAGATAAGATTTTAGGTTTAAAAAAAATAGCATGTTCATGTGGAAGAAAAAAAAAATCCCATATATGTAATATTAGCTGTTAATATTTTCAATTTAAAACATGAGATTTAGTTTAATTGTTTGATATAATTGCTCTTTAAATATGATATAAATTCAAATTCTAACAATCCTTCCTTCAAACTCAAGAGTAAGAAAATTTTTTTTATAAAAAAACATCAGCTTAAGCATAGCCTGGATAATTTATGCACTAAATTACTTGCATGAGTTGAAATTTTATTTGTAGATTAATGATAAGTTTGTAAAGTACATATGAAATACTAACTCTTAATAAAATGGGATTTTGATTAAAAGTTTCTTGGTCACCAAACCGGGATTAGCATACATTAGAACCTAAAAACTAAAAACTTAATCAATTAATACCAGCAACTTTATATATAAATTAGGAAGTCAATTCCCAATAAATGAATTTTAAAGGGTTGATTAAAGAAACAAGTAAAAACGAGAACAATTCCATTTGGGTATATCAATATGCATATTTGTTTGGTATCTGGTTTCACAGAAATGGTAGTAATCTTAAATTTCTCTGCTGCTTCCATTGAAGACTAATTTAAAAGTTCAGGAATATTCTTTGGTAGCCAAGTTCAATATGCAATTGAGCTAAGGCCAGTTACGACAACAATTTTATATATATATATATATATATATATATGTTGATTTTAAATGTTGAATCAGTGTCTGTAAAGTTGATTTAAATGAAAATTTAGATTTAATTTAATTAATTAATGTAATTATTAATAATATTCGATAAATTTAAATATTATAATTTTTTTTTTTTTTTTCAAGTTAAGATATCGTTGACAAAGTTGATTAAATAGAAAATTAGAAATGGTATTGCAATGATGCTGAGGTCATTTATGATTTTATGATGCAATTGATATTTGGAAACAATTTCAGCATACCATATGGCATCCAAGTCTAAGATTCGTTCAATTTTGGGTAAATGTTGTCTTCTAGATTTTTATGATGAAAGAGCTTGAATGGGATTGTTTGACCCTAGTTAAAAGTTCAAACTGGTCTTTTTGAACTAGTAGCGTTTGAGTTGATCCGTCAATTTCGATTTTGAGTTGTTTATTAAATAGATAAAACTATCCCTAATTGAAATCAAGATTACATTATAATACTAACTTGAAACTTAAAAAGCTTACTTATCCTTAATTTTTTTTAACTATATCAAATTAAAACATGTGAATATCGCTTACTCATTTAATTTTAGATAAAAAAATTAATCAAATTTTAAATTATACTACTAAGGATCCATTTAAATGGGTGGAATAATTAGTTATGATAAGATTAAAAAATAACGATAGTGATAAGATTAATTATTATAATAATAAGATTAAAATAAATGATGAGATATATGATTTGATGCAAACACAACGATAACAGTAAGATGCAGTATAGCAATATGAAAAAATAATTATTATGGATAATAAATTAAAATTGATATATAATTAATTTAACAATATATTTGGTATTTTTAAAGTTAACAAATAATTAAATTTTAGTAAAATTAATTTTATATTTAATTATTAATTTTTTTATTTTTATATTTATTTATATGATTTTTTTTCAAAGTAATAATACATCTATTCATATAAAATAACTAAAGTTAAATTTATTTATTATTTGTTTATTTATTTATTTTAGTTAATTTATATTGATTATAAGGATATTTATTTTTATTCATTTATTAATAATTTAATTCATTGTAGAATTTATTATTTTTATGTATTTCTTCAATTTCTAATTATATATATTAATTAGTTTATTCTATAATTACAAAAAAATGTGTTATATTATACAAAATATATTATTTGAAAATTAAATAAAAAAAAAAGGGTCCATTTGGATCCTCAATGCCGGTACAGTGCGATTAATACCTCCAACCTTACTGGTGGTTCCATTTGGATCACATCCTTATTACCCGATGAATTCATTTCCATTAAAAAGCAGTCTCAATTTCTGACTGAACCATAATAGTCAGTGAAAACTTTGAATCTTCATTGCAGTTTTTCTTCCAATTATATCCATGTTTTTTTTTTTTTTTTTTTTTTTTTTTTTTTCTGCTCTTATAACTATAGTGTAGTAAAAAAAAAAAAAAAAAGCCCATACCACTTAGTTTTTTTTTTTTTTTCATTTTTTATTTAATTTTCAATAAAATATTTTGTTTAATATAACACATTTTTTTTGTAATTATAGAATAAACTAATTAATATATAAAACTACAAATTAAATAAATACGTAAAAAAAATAAATTTTACAATGAAATAAATTATTAACCTTATCGAAATTAATCCTACCTTCCATTTATCCAAACGGACATATGGATTTTTTTTGCCTACACTATAGTTATAAGAGAAAAAAAAACATGGATATAATTAGAAGAAAAACTGCAGTGAAGATTGAAAATTTTCGCTAACTGTTAATATCCACTCAGAATTTGGGGCTACGTTTCAGTGGAAATAACTCCACCGGGCAATAAGGATGTGTTCCAAATGGATCACCAGTGAGGATGGAGGTATCAATTGCACTACACCGACACCAATTGAGAATCCAAATGGACCCTAAGCAATTTCTTCAACTGAAAAATGAGATTATATCATTTTTCATCAAGTTCTAACTTCGTATAAATATTAAAATTGACTTCCAACATCAACAGAAAACAAGACAATACAATTTTTAACTTTCCTAGAGCTAATACAAACAGAAAATGCCACCATATGATAGAACGAAAATAAAAAGGAAAAAAATATTAATCTATTACATCAGTTGTAAATTAACAAATTATGTTCTTCCATTATTACTTTAAAACTTCATTTTTCTTTCATCTTTCTCTTTCTTTTCTTAGCTCAAGAAAATTTATAATCTATGGCTGAGATACAACTTTATTGCTTTTAAAAACTTAAGATTAGTTTACAGAATAGTTTAGCGTACACCAAACATTGACTGCCAACCGCAGTAGCCAATTGCTATGTTTTTTCTCAATGCCAGTGGAAATTAAAAGGGGGAAAATACTCAAAAGTACCATATTATAATCAGGAAAGCAACTCATTAGGACCATGATGATGTCTTCTGTTTCAAAATCTAGATATAAAAACCACCTAATGAAAGACAATTTCATCAAAAAAGGACAAAAAAAAAGTGTCTGTAACAATGAAAATCACAGCACAAGACAAATTGTGTAGCTCACTTCCTGCAATGGATCTTCAATGCTTGTCTGTTCCTCTTCTTGACACCAGACTTGGCAACCTTCAGACTCCTGTGGACAGCACTCAACCTTGCCAGGGCTGCTTTTGTTAAATCTGGCCTATAGTAGTTGTCCGTCACCTGCAATTTGTTTGAAACATAGAGCATTATACAAAATTATAAGAGATGTCTAGAGAAGATAAAACTACATTAACAGAATTTCCGAATACCATTGAAAACTAAATAAATAGAATTTCAGAATGTTATTGAAAATCTATATGAATAAAAACAGCATGAAGACAGTGTGAAATTGGAAAGCTCACCTACTTACAATAATATCATTGAGAATATAATAGCTGCCAAGAGCAAGGGAAAGGGGGAAGAGAGGGGGGAGAAAGGTAAAACAGGAGGGGACAAGCTACAAGAGACAGCATGACAGCTACATTCAGCATACATATACACAATTATGTCCACAGTAGTCACAAAAGCATTAAAGAAGCATTGCTTAAACATTGGAAGCTCAGAAGCCAAGCGTAACAAGTACATTTCACAGAAGAATCCAACAAATAGATCCTTATTACATGTTATTGCTTCATCACTGCAAGATAAGACTCAATTAAATTTCAACAGAAGCAATAGACAAACAAATCATCGTTTAAGTAAACAATCTAACAAGTTTTACCAATTAGTTTAAGGCTAATGTTAGCTAAGAAAAAAAAACAAAAGACTATTTTCAGGGTTCATTGACAAACAATCTTTTTCTCTTCAACCCAAGATAATCGCAACAATTACCAATGGCAAACCTAGTAAAACAATAAACAGACATATTTCATAAGATGACTTCCTCTTTACCTGGTTTTTGACTGCCTTGGCCATCCTAGGGAACTCCTTTTTCATGACAGACTTGTGAAGTAAGCTCGAAGGCTTGTTCTGCTTCTTAGTCTTGGTCGTTGCTAACAGCACAGACTGGTCTTTGCCCCCACGTTGAATGGTGACTGTTTTCTTGTTTGCCAACCCTAAAATTACATAGATCCAGGAAAGGGTTAAGTCAATTGCACTCAAAGGATCACAGAAAATATATTAGACAAATATGACTCGCATTGTTTGTGCAAGCGTTAAATTCAAGTTTCCAGCTTTAAAACATTCTCAAGATAAAAACAAAAACCTTGCTTTACAATTCTTTGAGTTAAACATCAATTACTATTCCCCATCCCCATCACACTCTAATTTTCCTGTGGTTAACGTTAAATGTAAATTTTCAGTTTTTCTAAGAAACCAAATTCAACGTAAGAAACAAAAAGGGCAGACAATAGAATAAATTAACAAATACCCAATAGTTCTCTTCCCATTTCCTACATAATAACCAAGCATTTATATACAAATCATTTGCGTATGCATATAATATTATTCCATTTTTGTTTTACTTAACAAAAGCAACAGACATTAACTACTATATCAAATTTTTTTTTCAAATAAATCTAAAATCAACATACTCGAATCAACAAGAAAAGAAAAATGAGGCTTTTGGATAAATAAAAAAAGAATACCAGAGTGTTTGTAGGAGTTGAGATTGTAGAGATTGTTTGGCTCTTTGCTGAACTGAACGCTAGCAGTTCCTCTTCCAAACTGCTTCACCAAAAAACAATTGTTCTTCTTCACTACCTCCCAAATCAACTGTCCTGGAACTGTCGCCATTTTCTCTTTCCCTGCACCTCACTGCACCACATCCACCCAAACCCCCCCCCCTCCCCTTAGTAAGATTAAAATCATGTAAAACAAATCAAACAAAATCAGAAATAAATTATTAATATTGAGCTAAGATTAGAAGGAGAACCTGTTGATTTTTAGGGATTTTTAGGGGATGGGAGCTGCAGCTATAAAGCGGATCAAAAAAAGGTTTTAAACAACTAGAAACCCTAATTGCGAGTACTATTGTTGTCCTTAGGTTTTTTTACTAAATTACGATCGTGTCCTTCATTTTCTTTAGTGAAGTTTTATTTAAAAGCCCAAAATTGACTTTTTATTTTTGCATGATAAATAAATAATAAATTTTAATAATAAAAAATATTTTTCATTTTAAGAATATTGGATTAAATCAATCAATTAATTATATTTTAAAAAGAGATTTTACTAAAAAGTGACTTGAAGACACTATAAAATTACCATATTAAAAATATATATTTTTAATAATAATAAAATATCACATTAAGTCATCAACTATCAATTATTATATTAAATACAAAAAATATTAATATTTATAAATAATATGTAAAGAATACTCTTTTGACGCAGTGGCTAGGAAAATCATTTCATCTATGCTATATTCATTTTCTTGTACCATTGAAGCAATTTCCTTCCAATAAATGAGTCATTTAGAATGACAATTATATAGAGATTGAGAGCAGGCCTGACCCATGATCAACCCAAAAAGGGACTACTATATCTCAATTAAAAAAAAAAAGCAACTGCAATTTGCAAGAAAAACATCTAAATTCCAAAAAAAAAAAAGAGTTGAAAAGAAAGAGGCTTTAGGAATTGGAATAAATTACCAAATCACAGTCCCAAAGCAAAAAAAAAAACAAAAAAAAAAAAGGTAATTTAGGTTATTATCCCCCTGAACCAACCTGAATTCATGAATTATTTTAAAAAAAGAAAACAATATCAGGTCATGGATATACCTAATACCAGATCCCACCTCCTTTACACCTCAACTAATGTAACATTTTTATATATATACAAAGCCAGAGAAGCCTTCATCATCCTTCATACTCCTTACTAGTTTCCTTTTCTACAACCACCCAATGTCATTTCAATTGTACATAGGGATACATTCTACCTGGGGGCAGAATGCATGAATGCTACTGCTGCTGCTGCTGCTGCTGTTGCTATTGGCAAGGCTTGTAAATGAACCTACGACCCAGGTTATCTAGCCTAATAGAATCCCAGAAGTGACCACATTCATTATAGTAGGGATCACCTACTCATGAATTGCCGGATGCTAAAGGGCGATTTGTTGGTCGTGCTGAGCCCATAAATGCTTCATTTATCCTGCTGAATACTAACTTCAGAGGAACACAAGCTATTACAGGACCCATGGGCTTCTCCACCACCAGTTTCCTGTCAGCTACACCAAGCTTCTGACCAGTCAATGATGACAATTTCCGAATCTTTTTAGATAATTGTCCAGATTTGTTTGTTTTGGCTGATTTACGTGGTGGGAAATGTGACTGCAATTTCTTATGCAATTTCTTATGCTTTGTAGGGGCTCGTGCATCTGAATTTCGCTTCACTACATGACATATTTCAGTGCACTCCATAGCAGCTTCATGTGTCAAATTGCCATAGTAATCATCACTCAAAACCTCGACTGTTAGAGGGTGACCAATTATGGCTTTTCCGTTCAATTTACTTGTGAGGGAAACTAACCGAACATGCTGTGGCCGATAGTTAGCTTTCACCTCAATCTTAACATCATATAATGATGAATCAGCAGATTGAGTTCTCCCAGGAAAATCTGTCAACTGATATCTGGAGTGAACAGTATAACGGGACTGACGGTATGGAAGTGACCTTTGAGGGGTCACAGAACCATCAGGTACTAACTTTTCCTCAACTATCGGCCCTCTTGTACGAGGCTCCCCAGACATAGACTTCCTGTCCCGGAACCCTTCAAGCTCCTCTTCAACAACTGACTTGGACTTGGATAGTAAGGCACAAGTATATGGAGCAACTGACCCACCAATACCATTGCAATCAACTTTCTGATCAGAACCCTGAGAAAATCCATCAAAGTCCTCTCTACCTGCCAAATAAGCATTTGGTTCATCATCCATGTCAGCATATTTTCTCAAGTCGGGTTTTTGATTTTTACTTATTTGTCTTGATTTCCTCTTTCCTTTTAACTGCCAATCTGCAGTACCTTTCTCTACCCTCTGGCTAATACTATTTGTATGAACATCCATTGATCTGGTACAAACAGATTCATCATGTCCATTAGTTTCAGCTTGCCTTCCCAAATCACCAACTTCAGGCGTCTCAGATGAACAAGATACAAATATTGGAGAAAAAGCTGTCAGAATCAAATGATTTATCAGTAGCAATATGGAAAAATGTAAAATGCTACAGCTGCAAAAAAGATGAGTAAAAGACACAGGAATCAGGTTCTGGAAAAGTATGCACGCACATCTAGTTATCACAAAGTGGAGGTTTTGCAAGAAAGATCCATAAAATGAAACATTACCAGAATTAGTACCTTCCTATGCTAAATATGTCATCAGACAATATACTTAAATCGACATCTTCAAATTAGAAAAGAAAAACAACCAGAAGATCACAATTCAAATGGAAGAAGACCCAGTACTAAACTATCTTTATTTCAAACTGAATTAGTTGAGATAGAAACAAATTCTGGTAGAGAAGGAGCATAACAAAAGAAGGAAAAGAAATCCAAAAACAAAGGGAATCCCATGTCTTTACTCTAATCAACTTAGTCTCCAGGCAAATTGTGATTCAACAGGGACTACTACCAAGACCATTCAAGTTATTGGTCCACATTATGCCCTTATTAGCAATGCAACTTTGAGTTCGGCCCTGTTCTCGTGGTTATGGAATTTATCAAATGTCATTATATCCTCAATCCATAAGAAAAGTAATTTAGCTAGTGTCCAATCTTAGCACTAGATATCGGTGACAGTTTAAATTCTTATCCATCCCATCTAATACTCAACCTAGTTAGCCACCCAACAGACCACTGCAGATTGGTCCAATTGGCTAGTTACAAAGCACATTATCAGAACAAGTTGTACACTATTTTGGGTTTTGAAAGCACATGTAGATAGAGTTGCCTTCCAGTTTGGTTACTCGTCCTTAGTTGTTTCTTTTAGCCCAAGTTCATCTCATGCCAGAATAGCTGTCATCAAGTCATCAAATCACTAGTGATTGCCTGCAGTTTATTAGTTATGGATATTTAGAAGCCCTAAAGAGTCAAATAAGCTGGAGTCCAGCTAATTTGATTGGTGAACAAATCTGAATAACTGGACTAGATGGTAAACAGTTGGCAAACAGTTGGCCCCAATGATCACCGCAACCACACACACACACACATATCTATGCATGTTAATAGACACAATCATGCAAATAAAAGACATGAGTTATGTAGTTCCAAAAGATATATATGACACTTGAACATAAAAATCTTATTAAGGACCAAAGAAAACCAAACTAATACAGACTCACCACAAGAACAAAAGCTAAAATGCGAGCAGGAATATCTCAGAGGAGTCACACAAGACCAACATCATACAGACACATGATGAACATGGTGAATAATAACAAATCATGAAATAACAAAAAATTTAAACTATCCATCAGCTGCAGCCAAAATCCTCCATTAAAGCCCAATCAATATATACGTACAGTTTATAAAAGTACCAGCATATGTTTAAGCACAAAAAAGATGCAGTGATAGTAAGAAATGCTATAATTTATAAATGTTTAATCCAGAATACCTGCAGATGGCTTATCTTCTCCGACAAATGGCACATCAAATAGCCTGTCAGAAGATTCATTCTCAGCTAACCCTGTTATACTGGAAATTTCATTGTCCTTTGTCTTATTATTAGTTTGAGGTGCATCAGCAGCATGTTCAGAAGCATTTAAGGAGAAACCATTCTCACATGAAACTCCAGTACTATCTGAGTTGTTATTGTTGTTGTTGTTGTTAATTACCGCAGAAACACTTTTCCGTGATTCATTAGAATCCATTCCTGAAACCTTGCTGTCAGAGAGTCCCCTTAGGGGTGAACCACTTGAGCTTGGAAGTTCATCACAAACCACTGGAACAGACAACATAGCTGTACTCTCCAAAACCTTGGTTAATGGTCGCCGACGATTTTTCCTTTTCAACAATTCATGAACATTTGCCACTTGAGATCTCTTTCTTTTCAGTGATGATGAATGATTTCTGCTACCATTTACGGGACCTCCATTAGACAGGCAATTACCAGTGTTTGGGCCATATAATGAAGCATTATCTTGTTGAACTAGCTCAAGCACCCCTGCAGCCTGCACTTTTCTTTTTGACCCTACACCCAAGCCTAGATCCTCGAGTCCTCTCATGCGCTTGATTCCTTCAGTTCCATCATCCTCTGAATCATTTGGGGTTTTTCTTCTCTTTACCAGCATAGAGTGCCCCTTAGTGCCATTAATTTGATTTGGCTCTTCAAAGGATATGCCTGACTGTGATAATTCTGGAGCTGAATCTGAGCCATCCTCTGCTTCACTCATTTCATCAGTCATATCCTCATTTTCTCTCCCAGAACATGACATTATCGGTGATTCTTTGGCCAAACTACCCTGATCACCACCAGAATTATCTTTTCTAAAGAAATAATCTGGATGATCCTTGCCTAAACGTGCACTCTCAATCTCAAGAGCATGGAGAATAGCATCTTCTCTTCGTGCATATTTTACTGCTTTCTTGCTAGAATTTGCTGCCGAAGCCTTTGCTTTCTTGATGCATTCATCATATTCTCCACAGCGAAAGGCCTTCACCCTCTTAGACTTTTCAAGATTATACCAGTCCCTAAAGCCAAAAGAGCAAGGAAATGTAGTCAACAAAGTTAAGTAATAAGAACACATGCCAAGCATTAAATTCTTTTCATTCAAAGGTGCTCATTTGACCAAAAGGCTTCATCTCACTCATATATTTCAATCTTTAGAGACAAATCCTTTTAGAAATTTTTTTTATTTGGAGGAAGGGTGATTCAATCATTCTAGAAATTAAATGAAGAAAATTCAGCACTAACAGTGCTTTACTCATAAATCATTCAGTATTGAACAAGGTTTAAAGATAGATATGATGGAATATAAAGGCAAAACCTTGAATCTAAATCATCACAATCCAAAAAGAAAAATAGTAGTCATCTTTCGAAATTTTGAATAATTTTGTTATTTTCTAGTGGAGAAATACATAGTCACCAAGTTACAAAGTGAAAATTGCAACAAGGGACGGTTACAGCCTCTACTACTTTGGCAAAACAAACACTTTGTGACAGAACAAATACTCATGTATCGAACTGATTTAGAATTTTATCTTTAGAGCTCAATTAACCAATGACTATTTAATATAAGACTGTAAAGACATGGCAACAGGGAAAAAAGTACAACAGCTACAAAGGGCTCTCAGAGGATCAAATGCAGATTCTCTGACAGGCCTAATATAAAATCATTGGTGCTTAAAGAAAATTTTTTCTCAAGTTACCAAAAGTTCTAGTTTTTATTATTATAAAATAGCCACACAAGATTTTATTCAAAAGACAGCCTGTTGAGTTAAATGATTCACTAACAGCACAAATAACAATCATAAATCATAATGCACCAAGGCAAACAAGCAGGCTTTCAATGCGATCAAACGCTCAACTTCCCACCATATATTGCCACCAAAACCATAGATATGAACATGAAAGTGTACGACATAGGTTGAAACCACAAGTTTGCAATCCACTCCTCAAAATGGAACCAAATAGCCACCAGAGCAAAAGACCACTTATTATCTGCAAGTGTTTCCCCTTTTTTCAGCATCTTATTCATTAAGCAATATAAAAAAATTCTACAAATGACAAAACTATCAAAACTACTAAACAAATAAACTTGAATAAAAGAAAACTACTACAATTAATCATTAGCAGAAATGCAAGCTATTAAACCTAGCCAAAAAAATTCTACAAAGTGAACAAAAGATTGCAAAAAAAATTTGAACTCACACGCTTGCATCTTCACGTCCAAGAAGCTTAACAGGAGTACCGGATCTCGGAGAAACCAAACAACCCTCAGCGAGCTCGTCAAGGCCCATAATCCGACCCGGCCACCACGAACCGTTTCTGCGTCGGACCCAAACCAAACCACCCACCGACGCATCAATGCCCTTTATGTTGGCCTCATCGGGACTCCCCATCAGAAAACCTCTTCAAGATAATCCTCGTAAACAAATGTTAAAAATAAAATCTGATCTTTAAAAGTCAATCCTTAAACTCCGTTTTGAAGCAGACCCAAGACTCTAAAATCACCAAAAAAGTCGATTGCTTGAACAAATGCATACGCCCTTTAAAACCTGAAAAAAAAAAAAAAAAAGAAGCAAAAAATCAGCAACAAAAACCTTAATCCTGCATGAAACGAAAACCCAGAAAAGAAACAAAGAAAAACCCACAAACCCAGTAACTAAAAAGGCTTAAAAGAGAGATAAAAACCTAAGCTTTAAAAGGATCTAGGTGGTGAAGACAAGCCCAGTTTAAACAACAACAAAAAATATTTGAGGTGATTATTTTTATCTTTTCTTGTTTTGAAGATTTCTTTTGGGTTTCCCTTTCCACTTTTAAAAATAAATTGACCTTTTTTCCTCGGTTTTTCTTGAGAGTCTTGAAAATATTTGTCTGTAACTTCACTTTTTTTTCAAAGATTTTATGGTTTTTTTTTGTTTTGCAGTGTACGGGTATAGTGTGAAAAGAGAGAGATAGAGGGAAAAAGGGCGTTTTTAAGAAGAAAACGAAGGCTGAAAGGCTTCTGTTTGGGCCATCAAAATCAAAACAAAAGTGAAATACTTTTTCCCTTTGGCGTTTTTAGTCGAAGGTTGGGAATGAGAAAATATAATACTAAAATTAATTAAGAAATAAGCCATGTTAAGTAATATAATTCTCCCGTGCACGTTACAATCGTACGAATTTTTTAAACCGTTGGATCATTTTTCTTGTTTTAATCAAACAGTGCTGATTACTTTTGAAGGTTATCAATTGTCTCTTCTTTCATCTCAGGAAACTTTTATAGAAACAATTTCAATTAACGGAAAAAAAAAACAAAAACTATTTCAATTACTTACCTTTTTTGCTTGTGGGGCAAGGGTTAATTAAAAACAATATTATTATCATTTTTTTCTTATAAAACTGTAATTTAAGTAAAAGAGAAAGATAATTTAAGAATGAGAGAAAGATAGTAAATATTAAAATTTTAGAAATTTTATTTACACGAAATTTATTATTTATTATTTTTAAATATATTTTAAATTTTAAATTTAATTTCTTATTTCTAGTAAATACACCCACATTTTTTACATTCTATTTTTTATTCTTACCCCTTTTTTTTCTCTTTTTACTTATCAGTAAAAAATTTTAAATCCATAAAATTAATTTAAAATCATTTGTGTTTTTTCTAATGATTAAATATAAAAAAATTCCTACCTTGTTTTTTTATTGATTTTGGTTAAATTGTAGTTGAAATCATATGAATATAAATTAGGGTTTGTGGTAGGGTTTAGGTGAAATTGAATTTTTCAAAAATTGATATCTAATAAGTTTCAATGATTTTCGGATATGATAAGCCTTAAAGCTTATTGAATATTTACTTTTAAGAATCATTGAAAATTTTTAGAAATGAATTTTTGAAAGATATTAAAGTTTCTCGAATATTCATCTTTAAAAATCTTTAAAATTTTTCAAAAATGAATTTCTTACCTTTAATTACTAAAAACTTTACTCATGCAGATCCATAACTCATGAGCTATTCAAGAATAACTTAACTGAAAATATATGCATTTATGGACCATTTATTTGATCATATTTATGAATGGAACTGAAATAAATATTCTTAAGCATACGTAGCACAAACTTATTATTTCTCTTAATACTCTAAAAAATCAAAAACATCTTTTTCTAATTATATAATTTTACATAGGTAAAAGGGTGTTCTTGATTTTCTAATCTCTAAGACAATAACACATTTATGCCATGCATGCTTGAAAATTAACATATTTTTTCTATTCACACATTTGTGCCATGCATGCTTGAAAATTAACATATTTTTTCTATTCACACATTTGATTAAGTAAGCATGGGTATATGTGACTCGACCCTCCTACCCATGCTTATTTGAGAGTTTGTCTCCAATATTTTTCATATTTGTATTATTTATTTTAAAATTAAATATATTTATTTTTTAATTAAAATTAAATATTATCAAGAGTTTATAATTAAATATATATTTAAAAGAAAATTTATGTATTTTTGAAAATAAATTTTCGAAAATATAATGTACATATTGAAAACTGAATTTTTGAAAATATAACATAATTTTTGAAAATAAATTTTTGAGAATTATATTGCACTATCAAAAATGGATTTCCAACATTTACATTATATTATCAAAAACCCATTTTTAATAATGCAATGTAATTATTCCCATCGTTGAATTTATAAGAAGAAAAAATGTTGGGTATATAAGCTATTCGACGTACTTTTATCATTTACTAAATGCTAAAATTTATATTTGTTATGTGGGTATTTTTAAAATAAAATTTAAGAGATGTACCAAAAAAAAATTGTGATGCATTTAAAAGCTCCCTTAAAATTTTTTGAAATTGTTGAATGTTATTTTTACTGAATTAATTGATTAAATCTTGATTTAATATTAATATATATAATAATTAAGCCTAGTTTAATACTATTGCTGAAAGTAATTTTTATGGTTTACTTTTTATTCAATCTAAATGCTAAACAATAAAAAAATAATTTTTTGATTTAAAAATCTAATTTTGTAGTCCAAATAAAAAAACAATTTAAAAAGTGTTTTAAGTGAAAAAGTGTTTTATAAAAAGTCACTATTATTTTATATTTTTAATATTTTATTTTTTCAAACATTTCAAATATTAACAATATATTTTTACGACAATATTAAATATTTAAAATTTTTAATCATAATTTTTTATTTTATTTTTTAAATTTACTTATTTCAATTCCAACTTTTTTCAACTATAACAACAATGTTAAATTAACCTTATAATAAAATTCTATTCGTGAGAATGTTGAAAATATTGATAATAATTTTGATAAAAATAAAATGAGGAATGAGAATGAGAATGGTTATTTCCATTTTAAGTACCCAATTGTGAGAATAGGTTTTGGGAACCATATGGATATAAAGAAGTTAGGTAAAAGGAATCATACCAAAATTAGGGAAATGAAAAATTTTTTAGATTTATTATACTAACTAGAGGTAGTACTATTTGATTATTGTATATATTCACCTTTTTAAATTTGTTATTTTTAAATTTTTATAATTTTTAATAGTTTTATCATTTATAAGATTTTTTATTTTAGAATTAATGTCATGAATTATTTTTAAATTAAAATAAATTTTTGTTAAATGAAATTATTTAATTATTTTTCTACTTTTAACACCGTATTTTTTATTTAATACAACCCCATACTCAAAAAATAAATCGAAAATAAATTTTTGAAAAATCATATAATTTTTGAAAATAAAATTTAAAAAAGTTTTAAAGATTTTGGAATATTCATTTATAAAAAAAATTACTTAATTTTTCAAAATTTTATTTATGAAAATATTTATAATTTTTTAAAAATTCATTTTCAAAGACTTATGCTAGAAAAAAAAGTAATTAAATAATTTATTTATAAAATAAAATAAAATAACTGAAATACGAAGAGAAAAGAATAAATGCATTTAGCAGCACTCTTTTAAATTTTATAATAACCAGCAAAAATCCACCCACAAAAGTAAGAGAGAGTAAAGAACAAAAGTGAAACGGTGAGTTTAGAAGTGAGCTTTCCGTTAGGTTTTATCGGGCTGAACTGTTCATGGCTACTGTGAGCTTCGATCATGCCTGAGAGGAAAAGCAAAATCAAATCCAAAACAAAAAGCATAAAGAAGTAATATCCCATATTCACAACCATGATTGGTAATTCTTTTTCCTTTTTTTTTTAACTCAGTATTTAATAAAACTCTTTCTTTTTACTAATCAAATTCTACTATTATATTGCTTATCAAGTTCGTTGAGAACGTTCCTTCAACCATCTCAATTGCTAATTGAGTTTTTTTTACCTCTTTTTTACTCCTCAGTGTTCACTTGGTTTTTCATCCTGTTTTGGGATTTTCTTTTAATGCAACTTGCTTTTGTTTCTTTAAAGTTTGATATAAACAGACAATCTTTTTTCTTGTTGAGGTAATCAGAAATATCCAGCAGGTGCAATGGCATTTTTTGGGTTGAAATGAAATGGGGTTTTTTTTTTTTTTAGTGGCTCTTAGTACATCATTCAAAATTTTCTTCACACTCTATTTTTTTTTTGAAAAATATATATTAAAGTTATCAATTTTATCTTTTAATAAATTATAATTTTACTTTCTTTACATCCTGTTTAAGACTTTCAGAAATTCATTTTCAACAAACCTTCAAAGGAAATAGATTTCTTTCCTAGAGCCTTTTAAAACTCTCAACAAAAAACTTTACAGACCATTCGCACTTCATTAAACGTTTATGGTTGAATTTTCGAGAAGTGACGAAAAAACTTTTGTAAAAATTTTAATTTTCGTATCATTTCAAATAAATCAATGAATAAAAATCTTAAAATCTTACCTGTGATAAATGGAATACTTAAAAAATTTGTGATTTAGAGATTGGTTCGATGATTTTAGGATTAAGTTTAGAATGAATTTAGACTGAGAGTGAAAGAATGAATAAGTGAGGGAAAAGGGTACGGAAGAAAATGTAACCTTGTTGGATGAAGTTTATTAGAAGAAATAAAAAATCATATTTTAAATGTGGGATATATTAAGTAATAAGGTGTAAAGAGTTTCTATGGATGTAAATTGAATTTTCCCTTGTTTATGGACTTGGGTTTTCTAAAGATATCATGAAATTTACCGATTGATATTTTAAAAATCATAGCTAATACTAGTGAGGCAAAAGTGGTAAACGTACAGTCTTTACGGTCTCACGCACTAGTTACCGGTTACAACTGATAAATCATGGATCAACCGTGAAGCTATAAGGGAACTAATAAAAATACAAGTTTACTGCGTTTCTTCCCTAGCTGTAGCAGCTGGCTAAGGACATGAAATATAATCAGTTTAACGTTTACTAATAGTAGTTAAACCTTATTTAATCAATCGATGGAAGAATGCGATGCTGTGTTGAGATTGGTTTACTATATACTTCCTTCAACACCAATTCATTTCTCTTGAGTTATGTTTACAGACCACGTGCAGGAGCAGGAGATGGAAATTGAAGCCCTGGAAGCAATAATTATTGATGAATTTCGAAGGCCCTTTTCGCTTCTTTTGTTGGAGTTATGTTTTCTCCCTGCTAAAATTTCCTGTTCCGTCCTCACCTGTAATGATTGCTGCTTTTGCATCAGAAATTCACTCTGGTGAGAGTGGGCTAAGCACTTCTAATAGGTGCTTCCAAATAACATTATCTCCTCAGGTGCGTTTTGTCCTTGACATATGGTTATCTGCCATTTCCGCAATGCGATTGGCATTTCTTTACAAGCCCATTTTATTATAGTTTTTCATTGTGAGCTTACAATGACATGGGCTAGTAGACATAGAGTTGTTTGATGAGTAATAATGCACCTTCAAATAATTAAGAATGTTTTGCATGCTTAGCTGCTGTTTCTACATTATTATTCATTCTTTGTGACTTTTATGCCTTGACAACTAATTGTCCTCTCATCTAATTACCACATTTTGTGTTTGACAGGATGATGACGCATATCAGTTAACCACCCTACTAGGTTATTCTTTTTATATCATCCAACAAATTCTAGTGTCATATTTGTTTGCCGCCACACTTATATGCAGACGGAGACGAATAAATTTATAACATCAAATTTGATTCAATTTGCTTGATTTTGGGAACTCTTTTTGCTGCCCTTAGTTCAGGATTTTCTGTTTCCCTGTGAACATAAGCTGTTGTTCAAACTTCTGTTGCAGTTCAGGTGGCTTTGGTTTTCTCGTCTAGGGAAAATTATCCAGATGTGCCTCCACTTCTGAATGTAAAAAGGTCAGTATGTCCTTTCAGTGCAATGTGCCAATACGCATGCCACTATTTGTAAGGATATTTGTTACTGTCTCCTGTTTACATAAATGATATGAGAAAGAAATGTTATTTTTTCCTTTTGTTTGAAGCTCATCTGGGCTTTGATTAACGGGGAGTATGGAAAAAAACTAAGAAATAAATAAGTGTGGAAATTGAATGTATAATAAAAAACTGCTCATTAAGAATTATACAAGAACTTTAGGTTTATATACAACTAACTAGGGGTTAAATTAGGAAATTAAATCTTCTTAAAAAACTAATCCTATAATTGAGAGATTATCTATCTTAATTTTTTATCCTTAATTTTAGGGATACAAATACTTAATTCTAGAGATAAAAATATAAATATACAGATTACAAAATTACAACTAGCTGTAAATAAATATTTTCCTACATTCCCCCTCAAGTTGGTAAATATGTGTTTTTCATTCCCAGCTTGAAAATAATTTCTTGAAATGTTGCACTGTTGAGACCTTTAGTTAATACATCTGCAAGTTGACCCTTGGTTGATACATAAGGTATACAAATCAACCCACTGTCTAGTTTCTCCTTTATGAAATGCCGATCTACTTCAATGTGTTTTGTTCTGTCATATTGCACAGGATTGTGTGCAATGCTTGTTGCAGACTTATTATCACAGTAGAGTCTCATTGGTCCATCCCACTTGATCTTCAAGTTTTCTAAGATAATCTTTAACCATAATAGTTCACAAATTCCTTGAGTCATTGCTCTGAACTCTGCTTCAGCACTTGATCTTGCCACCACATTCTGTTTTTTACTCCTCCAAGTCATAAGATTACCACCTAAGAAAGTGCAATAGCCTGAGGTGGATTTTTTATCAGTTACTGAACCTGCATAATCAGCATCTGTATATGCTTCTAAAACTAATCTCGAATTTTTTTTGAATAAGATACCTCTCCTAGGATTGGCCTTCAAATAGTAAAATATACGGTAGACAGCCTGTAAGTGCACTTCTTTAGGACTATGCATAAATTGACTTACGACACTCACAGGATATGCTATATCAAGTCTAGTATGTGAGAGATAAATGAGTCTTTCAACTAATATTTGGTACATCTCTCTATTTACAGCAGCATCTTCATTAGCTTCTCTAGTTTTATGATTAGGATCTATAGGGGTATTTACAGATTTACATGTAAGTTTTCTAGTTTCCTTCAGAAGATCTATCATATATTTCTGTTGTGAGATGAAGAAACCATGCTGTGAGTGAGCTACTTCAATTTTTAGGAAGTACTTCAATCTCCTTAGCTCTTTTATCTCAAATTCTCTAGCCAAATATTGTTTTAGAGATTCTTTCTCTTTTTCATCATATTCAGTTACAATTATATCATCAACATACACTAATAGAACTGTGACTCTCCCTGAATCAGAGTGCTTGATAAATAATGTGTGATCTCTTTGACTCTGTTTATATCCCATTGCTAGTATCACTTTGGCAAATCTCTCGAACCAAGTCTTAAGAGACTGTTTAAGGCCATATAAAGCCTTTTTTAGCCTGCATACTTTGTTTGCTTCTAGATAACCTCCAAATCCCGGTGGAAGCTTCATATATATTTCTTCTTCCAAATCACCATGTAGAAAAGCACTCTTTACATCAAATTATTGAAGCTGCCAATTATAATTTGCAGCCAATGATAACAAAATCTTAATTGTATTCATCTTAGCAACTGGAGTGAAAGTTTCCTGATAATCCACTCCATAGGTTTAAGTGTAGCCCTTAGCCACTAACCTGGCTTTATACCTTTCAACAGTACCATCTGTTTTGTATTTTACAGTGAAAACTCCTTTACACCACACTAGATTTTTTCCTTTAAGCAACTCTACCAGTTTCCATGTCTGATTTTTCTCTAAGGCCTCAATTTCTATTTTCACGGCTTACCTTCATTTCTCACTGGATAATACCTCTGATAATATAGTTGGAACAAAAATAGTGTTTAGGCTCACAAAAAAATTTTTATGGGATGGCGAAAATTTTTCAGATGACACAAAATTAGAGATTGAGTATAGTGGATGCTTAGTACATTCTCTGATTCCTTTCTTAATGGTAATAGACAGATCATAATCACTAGTTATGGTTTTAGGAGATTCATGCTCATTTTGAGAAATAGAGTAAAAAATTGTAGTTACCTCATTTCCAAAGTTAGGATCAAGTTCTTGGATTGACACTGGTTCAGAATCTAAAACTTTTCTTCTTGAGTACACCTATAATTCCTTCATAGAATAAAAAAAATATTATCCTTTGTCACATCTTTTGTATTTGGAATGGGTTCAGACTCAAATTCAGTGTTTAACTTAGGCTCATCAAAAACAGGTTTCGACTCAGAAGAATTAATGGGTGTAAATGTTGAAGAAGGGGACAAATCAAGCAAAATGAAATCTTTATCCTTATCTTTCATGAATTAAATCTCCCCCTGAAGATAAGGTTGAGTAAAAAATGGCTTACTTTCTTCAAAAGTGATATATGCAGACATATAAAATTTTTTGGTAAGAGGATGATAGCACTTATATCCTTTTTGAGTTGAAGAATACCTCACAAAAATACACTTAATCGCTCTTGGATCCAACTTTCCCCTGTTATGATTGTGAATATGAACAAATGATGTACAACCAAATATCCTAGGTGTGAAATTGTTTGTGGTACTGAGGTTAGGATAAAATTGTGAGAATAATTCCATAGGAGTTTTAAATCTCAAAACCTTTGAAGGTAACACATTTATAATATGTGTAGCAGTGAGAACAGCTTCTTTCAATAAAATTTAGGTACATTTGCTTGAAAAAAAAAGGCTCGGGTTGTGACAAGTAAATGACTGTTTTTTTTCTCTACCACTACATTCTGCTATGGAGTATTAACACAAGATGACTCATGGATAATCTTCTCTTTTTGAAAATAGGTAGATAGACTTTGGTTGAAGTAATCTCTTACATTATCGGACCTAAATCTCTTGATTCTCACTCCAAATTAATTTTGGATCATGTTTTGGAAGCTTAAAAATATACTATTTACATCTGATTTAGATTTAAGTAAAAAAATCCAAGAGATCCTGGTACAATCATCTATGAATGAAACAAATCATCTCGTACCAAAAATATTAAGAATTATAGAATGACCTCAAATATCACTATGAATCAAGTAAAAGGGAGTAGAACTTCTTTTGTTACTGATTGAAAAAAATACACGTCTATGCTTTGCAAGTTCGTAAACATCACAATGAAAATCTTCGACATTTAATCCTTTGAACAAAGAAGAAAATATGTTTCTCAAGGTTCCAAAAGAATGATGTCCAAGACGAAAATGATAAAGCCAGATTTTATCTTTATTGGAAGATTTTTCAGAAAGAAATGACAAAGATAAACTATTCTTGATACTACTTGTGTTATTTGATGTCTCAAGATAGTATAGTCCATCCTTCTCCTTAGCAAGTCCAATCATCTTTCCCGAACTCTGGTCTTGAAATTCACAATAAGAAGGATAAAAAGTTACTTTACAATTCATATCTCTGATAAGTTTTTGTATAGATATCAGATTAGTAGACAATCCAAGAATATGAAGAATATTTTTGAGAACAAACGAGGGATTAACTTGAACATCTCCTAATCTTGCCACTGTGGTAAGTGAATCATCTACAACAACAATTTTCTTATTACTAGGACACATGTTATATGTACTAAACTTTTGTGAGAAATGTATCATGTGGTCTGTGGCTCCTGAGTCAATGACCTAAGAACTCATAATAGGCTTAGCCGAGACATTTAATCCGTGAGAACTGGAAGCTTTACCTGAACTAGAAACCTTACCCAAAGAACATACCACAGTAAGCTTTTCAAGGATTTTCAATAAGTTTCTCAGCTTTTCAATCTCTTCCCTATCGAACTCTCCTTGTTTTTGAGACATCTGTAGTATTCCAGTGATTTTTCCAGTCAATATTTCCTCAAATTGGGTGGTAGTGATATCTTTCTTTGAAAGGGTTCGGCAATGAAGGCCTAAAAAAGTCAGCAATGAAGGCTGAAAATTTTGCTTTTCAAGAAGAGTCTAAAGCTTTGATATCATGTGAAAAAAAACTAAGAAATAAATTAGTGTGGAAACTGAATGTATATTGAAAAACTGCTCATTAAGAATTATACAAAAACCTTAGGTTTATATATAACTAACTAGGGATTAAATTAGGAAACTAAATCTTCCTAAAAAACTAATCCTATAATTGAGAGATTGTCTATCTTAATTTTTTGTCTTTAATTTTAGGAATATAAATACTTAATTCTAAAGATATAAATATAAATATACAGATTACAAGATTACAACTAACTGTAAATAAGCATTTTCCCACATAGAGGATAGAAAAGTTTTTATTCTAATGGTTATGCTATATAATAGGAAAGTGGTTATGAATCCTAGCCATTAGGTTGCAAAATTTTCCATCCTTCCCCCTTTCCATTTTCCTTACCTATCATATTCTTAATCTTTCCTCGATCTCATGGGGGTTCCCCTAATACCATTTGAGAATGTACCAGCAAACAACTGCCTTTTTCTTTATAAACTGCTTTCATGCTTTTAATATTCAGTTAGAGTTAAATGTTTCATGAGTTGCACCAATAATTTATCATCTGCTCCTCACTCTGAAGTTACTGCTCATCTGGTACATGTATGTGATATAGACCTGTGAAAATCATCAAGGAATCTTTTTTTAATCACCTTGGCCACTTCATTTTTTTCTTTTTAGATATTGCTATATCGCAAAAGCAAAATTTTATTTGATTAAAGATGAGCAGTTGGTTTGAAAAGTAACAACATTTCAAATTTCATGGTTCCTAATTGAATGTAATCATGCCTTTTGTTATCCAAGAAACTAATTATTCAAATGTACTTTTTTCTTCTGTATCCAAACTCAGTTTTTCTTTTGAAAGCAAATAAGTTACTAAAACTGACAGCCAAATGGACCCTAACATTGACATGATCTACTTTTTCATTTTCTTCTTCTGATTTATTTTTAAGCTACCTAAAGTGAAAGGCTGCTCGAAGATGTCAGTGGCAACCATGTATTAAATGATATTTGTGTTGTGTCCTTACAGGCTTGCTTGTGTTTCTTTCATTGATGACTCGAACTGATACAATAACTCAGACTAAAATAAAAATCATTTTTTGAACGTGATAAATTGTCAATATTGACGTTATTTAACATTCTTTTATGGATATTGGAGGACCGTATCTTTTTTGTGCTAGTTGTTTGCTGATTATTTCCATCTACTGAAATCGAATGGACTTTATCTTGAGCATTTGTGACCTTGTATAAAAGATGCATTCTTTACCCCTCATGATCTTGTTCTTTGGGATGAACTTTTTTAATTTCCTTTTCCAGTACACGGCGAATACAAACCAGTGACCTGAAAGTTTGAAAGAAAAGCTTGAACAGGAGGTAACCTTGTAAGGCATTTATATTTTGTCATAGTACTGAAATTTGTAATTTACTCTTTAAGCATATCTAAAGCTTCCAGGAAATATTCTTTCTAAGTTTAGGTTTTTGCCCTTAATTGAGAGCCAAGATCATGGCTTTCCCCAACCCGTCACCGCATACTGAGAAATGTAAAATATCCTGAATGGAAGTGTTAAATGGCATAGAGAATCTCAAGTGTGCAAATCTTTTAGCTTATCGAACTTTGTTTCATGTTCATCTTTAGCTGGCAGTAGCATCTGTTAAGTAAAATATCCTGAATGGAAGTGTTAGATGGCATAGAGAATCTCAACTATGCCAATCCTTTAGCTAATTGAACTTTGTTTCATATTCATCTTTAACTGGCAGTGGCATCTGTTAAATAAATTAATCCTTCTTTTTAGAGGAAGGTTGCAATAAAAAGTGTTATTTTTAGTTTATATTGCCTATTAGCATCTTTTTCTTTATGTAAATTGGCTAATGGTTATACAGCTTAATTTGTCCAGGTTTTGCAGATTCTCACTTCATTCTGTGCTTTACAGCATTTGAAAATCTTGGAATGGCTATGATTTACACTTTGGTTACATCAGGCAAGGAATGGCTATTTGAAAGATATGGCCAAGATGCTGATGTTGACAATGCTGAAGAAGAAGAAGCAATAAAAGATGAGGTGTGACCATTTATTATACGTTTTCATTTCCTCTGTTCTTGTGGTTAGATGTTTACTAGATTCAAGAGTAAATATAACTTTTGTTTTTTTGCAATCTTTTAGCAAATTCTATTTGCATTCCTATACCGTTGCCCACCTACTAGTTGGATCTTGGATGCAATGTTATGTCCATTGTATTTATACTCAATGTATGCGTAGGTCTGTAATTAGAACTGCTTGCCTGCATTAATATACAACTTAGACCTATAGTGAATAAACTTTTGCCCTAAGGTACTGAATGCCACAGCAGTTACTAAGGTGGTCCCTGATGATGCCTAATTAAGAGGAAGGATATATTTTCAATATATATGTTTCAAAGGTATAAATGTGATAGCTTGTGTGCAAGATGAGCATTTGACATTGATGGAGTGGGTATCTAAGCATTAACTAGAAGTATGAAACAAATGGAATTATTGTTATTTTAAATGCTTTGAACTAGAACATGAAAAGGTGTATGGTGAAGCTCCTAGATTGCAATGTTGTAATGTGAATGTGCCAGATGAATCTCAACTGACATCAGTTTTAACGCTGGAAAAATCCTATGAGTACAGAAAGAAAATGACTTGCAAATGAGTGTAGAAGAGACAAGGAAGTTGAGACTAAGTCCCAACATTGGAAAGGATGTTACATTTACTATATTACGTGTTAAAAAATTGAAAAAATTATGGAGAAGGGGGTAAGTTGGATAGTTGAGTCATTCCAACGAGTGAGAAGAAGTATGTATATGTTTCTCATTGTGCATGCTGCCCAGTTAATGGAAGGTGAGAAATAATACCCATCAAGCTTGTGAAGATGTGCTCTATAACAAATTGGATCCAGTATCTTGCCCATTGATTTTCCTTCTGTGTAAACTAAATATATATTGAAAAACTGCTTATTACGAATTATACAAGAATCTTAGGTTTATATACAACTAACTAGGGGTTAAACTAGGAAACTAAATCTTCCTTAATTCTAGGGATACAAATACTTAATTTTAGAGATACAAATATAAATATACAAATTACAAGATTACAACTAGCTGTAAATAAGTGTTTTCCCACACTCCCCCTCAAGTTGGTGAATAGGTGTTTTCCATTCCCAGCTTGGAAATAATTCCTTGAAATGTTGCACTGCTAAGACCTTTAGTCAATACATCTGCAAGTTGACCCTTGATTGATACATAAGGTGTACAAATCAACCCACTGTCTAGTTTATCCTTTATGAAATACCGGTCTACTTCAATGTGTTTTGTTCTGTCATGTTGTACAGGATTGTGTGCAATGTTTATTGCAGACTTGTTATCACAGTAGAGTCTCATTGGTCCATCCCACTTGATCTTCAAGTCTTCTAAGATAATCTTTAACCATAGTAGTTCATAAATTCCTTGAGCCATTGCTCTGAACTCTACTTCAGCACTTGATCTTGCCACTACATTCTGTTTTTTACTCCTCCAAGTCACAAGATTACCACCTAAGAAAGTACAATAGCTTGAGGTGGATCTTCTATCAGTTACTGAACCTGCATAATCAGCATCTGTATATGCTTCTAGAACTAACCTCAAATTTTTTTTGAATAAGATACCTCTCTCAGGATTGGCCTTCAAATAGTGCAATATATGGTAGACAGCCTGTATGTGCACTTCTTTAGGACTATGCATAAATTGACTTACCACACTCACAGCATATGCTATATCAGGTCTAGTATGTGAGAGATAAATGAGTCTTCCAACTAATTTTTGATACATCTCTCTATTTACAGCAGCATCTTCATTAGTTTCTTCAATTTTATGATTAGGATCTATAGGGGTATTTGCAGGTTTACATGCAAGCTTCCCAGTTTCCTTCAGAAGATCCATCACATATTTCTGTTGTGAGATAAAAATACCATGCCGTGAGTGAGCTACTTCAATTTCTAAGAAGTACTTCAATCTCCCTAACTCTTTTATCTTAAATTCTCTAGTCAAATACTGTTTTAGAGATTCTCTCTCTTTTTCATCATCTCCAGTTACAACTATATCATCAACATACACTAATAGAACTGTGACTCTCCCTGAATCGGAGTGCTTGATAAATAATGTGTGATCTCCTTGACTCTGTTTATATCCCATTGCTAGCATCACTTTGACAAATCTCCCGAACCAAGCTCTAAGAGACTGTTTAAGGCCATATAAAGCCTTTTTTAACCTGCATATTTTGTTTGCTTTTAGATGACCTCCAAATCCCGGTGGAACCTTCATATATATTTCTTCTTCCAAATCACCATGTAGAAAAGCATTCTTTACATCAAATTGTTGAAGCTGCCAATTGTAATTTGCAGCCAATGATAACAAAATCTTAACTATATTCATCTTGGCAATTGGAGCAAAGGTTTTCTGGTGATTCCACTCCATAGGTTTGAGTGTAGCCCTTAGCCACTAACCTGACTTTATACCTTTCAACAGTATCATCTGCCTTGTATTTTACAGTGAAAACCCATTTACACCCCACTGAATTTTTTCCTTTAGGCAACTCTACCAGTTCTCATGTCTGATTTTTCTCTAGGGCCTCCATTTCTATTTTCATGGCTTGCCTCCATTTCTCATTGGATAATGCCTCGGATAATGTAGTTGGAACAGAAATAGTGTTTAGGTTCACAAGAAAATTTTTGTGGGATCGTGAGAATTTTTCAAATGACACAAAATTAGATATTGGTTATAGTGGATGCTTAGTACATTCTCTGATTCCTTTCCTAATGGCAATAGGCAAATCATAATCACTAGTTATAGTTTTAGGAGATTCATGCTCATTTGAGAAACAGAGTAAAAAATTGTAGTTACCTCATTTCCAGAGTTAGGATTAGGTTCTTGGATTGGCACTGGTTCAGGATCTGAAACTTTTCTTCTTGAGTACACCTGTAATTCCTTCATAGAATCAAGAACAATATTATCCATTGTCACATCTTTCGTATTTGGAATGGGTTCAGACTCAAATTCAGTGTTTGACTTGGGCTCAGCAGAAACAGGTTTCGACTCAGAAGAATTAATGGGTGTAAATGTTGAAGAAATGGGCAAATCAAGCAAAAAAAAGTCTTTATCCTTATCTTCCATGAATGAAGTCTCCCCCTGAAGATAAGGTTGAGTAAAAAATGATTTTATTTTCTTCAAAAGTGACATTTACAGACACATAAAATTTTTTGGTAGGAGGATGATAGCACTTATATTCTTTTTGAGTTGAAGAATACCCCATAAAAATACACTTAATCACTCTTGGATCCAACTTTTTCCTGTTATGACTGTGAACATGAACAAATGATGTACAACAAAATATCTTAGGTGTGAGATTGTTTGTGGTATTGAGGTTGGGATAAAATTGTGAGAGTAGTTCCATAGGAGTTTTAAATCTCAAAACTCTTGAAGGTAACCTATTTATAATGTGTGTGGCAGTGAGAACAGCTTCCCCCTAATAAGATTTAGGTACATTTGCTAGAAAAAGAAAGGCTCGGGTTGTGGCTAGTAAATGACTATTTTTCCTCTCTGTCACTCCATTCTATTGTGGAGTATTAACACAAGATGACTTATGGATAATCTCTTCTTTTTGGAAATAGGTGGATATAGTCTGGTTGAAGTAGTCTCTAGCATTATCAGACCTAAATCTCTTGATTCTCACTCCAAATTGATTTTGGATCATGTTTTGGAAGCTTAAAAACACATTATTCACATCTGATTTGGATTTAAGTAAAAAAACCCAATAGACCCTAGTACAATCATCTATGAATGAAAAAAACCATTTCGCACCAGAAATATTAAGAATTGTAGAGGGACCCCAAATGTCACTATAAATCAAGTAAAAAGGAGTAGAACTTCTTTTGTTACTGATTGAAAAAGACACACGTCTATGTTTTGCAAATTCACAAATACCACAATGAAAATCTTCAACATTTAATCCTTTGAACAAAGAAGGAAACATGTTTCTCAAGGTTCGAAAAGAAGGATGTCCAAGACGAAAATGATAAAACCAAATTTTGTCTTTATTGGAAGATTTTTCAAAAAGAAATGACAAAGGTAAACTATTTTTAATACTACTTGTGTTATTTGATGTCTCAAGATAGTATAGTGCATCCTTCTCCTTAGCAAGTCCAATCATCTTCCCCGAACTCTAGTCCTGAAATTCACAATAAGAGGGATAAAAAGTTACTTTGCAATTCATATCTCTGGTAAGTTTTTGTATAGATATCAGATTAATAGACAATCCAAGAACATGAAGAACATTTTTGAGAACAAATGAGGGATTAACTTGAACATCTCCTAATCCTGCCACTGTGGTAAGTGAACCATCAGCAACAACAATTTTCTTATTACTAGGACACAGGTTATATATACTAAACTTTTGTGAGAAATGTGTCATGTGGTCTGTGGCTCCTGAGTCAATGACCCAAGAACTCGTAATAGGCTTAGTCGAGACATTTAATCCATGAGAACCGGAAGCTTTATCTGAACTAGAAACTTTACCCAAAGAACATACCATAGTAGGCTTTTCAAGGATTTTCAATAAGTTTCTCAGCTTTTCAATCTCTTCCCTGTTGAACTCTCCTTGTTTCTGAGACATCTGTAATACTCTAGTGATTTTCCCAGTTAACATTTTCTCAAATTGGGTGGTAGTGATATCTTTCTTTGAAAGGGTTCGGCAATGAAGGCCTAAACAGGATTCGACAATGAAGGCCTAAAAAAGTCAGCAATGAAGACTAAAAATTTTACTTCCCAAGAAGAGCCTAAAGCTCTGATATCATGTGAAAACTGAATGTATATTGAAAAACTGCTTATTATGAATTATACAAGAATCTTAGGTTTATATACAACTAACTAGGGGTTAAACTAGGAAATTAAATCTTCCTTAATTATAGGGATACAAATACTTAATTCTAGAGATACAAATATAAATATACAGATTACAATATTACAACCAGCTATAAATAAGTGTTTTCGCACACCTTCAATTGCTCCCACCACCTTTCTTCTCAAGTTCAAACTTCAAAATATCGATATGTCCAGCGGAACTTTGTTATATGACAGGATCATGTCAGGGATGTTCTACAATGATGTAACTCATTAGGTCTGGTTTCAAAGGAAAGTGTGCTAAAATTCAAAAGATATACTATGCCAGTTACTGATATAGCAGCCAGACTTTCAGACAAGTCATATCTCCTGAAAAAAAAAACTTGGATATTTTCCTGGTAGACAGATTTGGAGACCCTTGTGTTTGTGTTATTTAAAAAATATATATTCATGATCTTCCCTTGGAACTCTTATGCTAATTGGTCAGTCTGCCGTAAGAATACCCCATATTATCTAACAACGCTGCTGTGTGACCCATTTTTTGTTTAGATCTGACAGACATAGTGTTTAAGATTTCTACTTGGTGAATCCAAGAGGAAAGCATAAAGCTTTGTGCTAATTATGATCACAAATCAGGATGCTGTTCAAGTTTGAGAGCACTAAGTTTTCTCTTAATACCAGATGTTAGTCTTTATGTAAAAGAAGCTATCATACCTTTTCCTTCTTGCAGGTAATTGTGCCACATGGAGAACCTGTTATCATTAATACATTTTTGCATGGAGAGAGGTTTGAGGCAGAGTTCGCACTAGACAGAGCCAAGTAAGTTTGATGACTAAATGCTTTTTGTACATATGTGGACATGCATACACATATTCACACATCTTTTTTAGTGGTCATGAACTTGTATTTTGGCTGTGATGTTTTCTGCCATCAGTCATTAAGTTGTATCTTGGGTTTTTGTTCTGCTTATTTGGGATTCGTTGAAGCACTGATTAGTATTAATCTAATTAATTAGAGGTTTATTAATGAAAGTGTCAGGAAAAACAAGCATGTATATATATGTATGCTAGGAACTCTGCTCATCTGGACTTAATCTTTTCAAATCTCATGCAGTAGAGTTTCAGCCGCAACTCTCAACTTCTCAAATCTCTCGCCATAAAATCAAACAACATTTTCAGGTTTTTGTCATTTCATTCCCACTTGCAAAATATATCTTGCTAAATATATACTTTTGACAGGTTTCAAGCTAAAAAAATGAAAATATTTTCAGATTCGTTGCTGATTTTCTGTCTGCTCAGTCTTGTGGGCAACACTAGGGCTAGCAATTCATGCACCTGGTGGTAAGTTTAGAATATTATCAACCAGGTCTGTTCACATCACATGCAACGTTAACCAGACTTTCCTATTGTCATGCTGCCACTGTCACCACCTCGGTTTCCATTCTTTTCTCTTACCAACACACATCTCCACCTTCTGTCAAGCCTTCTATTTCTCTTGCTAAGCAATCCAGGTCTCTTATTGAAATTCAGCCGTGTGAGTCACATTTACAAGATATTGAATCATGCCTAAGAGCCGAATGTTGGATCAGCTTGATGCAAGGCAATAACTGAGATCAGCCAAGATTGCTTTAATCGCTTAATTCCACCGTTCATTAGCCAATTCTTTGGTCCAACATCAAGGAACTTTGTTATGTTCCTCCTCGTCATGCATTGTCATTGTTGTCTTAGAATTCTATGCTAAGGTAACATTTTCTCCTAGGCTTTCATGGAATCGTAGAGAGAATTGCTGATACCCCAACAACCTCCTCTTTCTGAAAGAGGAAAACACTAACATTAAAAATTTCTTGAAATAGGAATAGAGTGGAGCATAAACGCTTGGCTCCATTGTTTGGTTGTGTAGTTATAGTACTTTTGCTCCTGCTTAGATTAACATTTCTAGTTTTAAATTGTGTCCCAATAGTTTTATTCCTGTCAAGAATAACATTAATAATTAAACTAGAATACTCAATGGAGCCATTAGATCCCATTTATAGAGTGTAACAGTTTCATGTATGCTGAGACTAAGGGTGCTCAATTTATGAGTGGTGAAACAATTTCAATCAGCAAGAAAAAGATAAAAAGAAATGGAGACTAATGAATTGAAAATAGCAAAAAAATATATGTTTTATTTCCAATTAATGTTGCTGTCAAAGTATGTCACAGACTCACAGTATTGAGCTAAAATTTATGGGCAACTCTTGGAGGCCAAGAATAAATATTTCTATTCCAACCCTACAACTATGGCACATTGCTCCTCCAAATTCCTATTCCAATAAAATTCTACACAAGTCATTAGTACATGTATCATGTACGTTACAAAGAGATCTGTCATATCTCTCATTTTTTCCTGGCATTGACTTCAAAGATCGAGATTTGAAAACCAAAGCAATAAAGTTGATGATGAGCTCCAGTGTCCTGCCATGGAGTGCACATTCTCCAAGGGTCATAGGTGCTGACAAACAATAATCAGCTTTGGTGCACATGCAAATAACTCTACACCTTTCTCTTCCATAAACATCCTTGATCAGTCTGGCTTGAGCAATAGCCAGAAAAGCAGAGATGACTGATCCATGTAGCAAAGCCCTGTTAAACGATAATGAAGAAAAGGAGTGAATGATAGATCTCTAGGTAGTAGGGAAGGACATAACATCAGTTGTTACATCTTAGGTTCACAAACAATATATTTCCAACCATTATACCTTCTGACAAAAAAGCCTGCCAAGCCCTTTAAGAAAGTTTAATGAATGATCACTAAATAGCCATGATGTAGAATGGTTTTGGTCACAACTGTATAATATGTATAGAAGAACTGATTTCTACTTTTAATAAGAAACAGTCTGACTGCAATTTGGTGAAAGAATCCGGTAAGAAAACCAGATCAGCAGCAGATAAAAACTAGTGTTTGATTCACGTACCCTTCACCAAAGAGAAAAATAAATGAGCAAAAGGCTTTCCGCCTTGCTTTCTTACTACTAAAATGATAGTGCTAACACGGAAAAACACTTACTCAGGACTTTCTTTTTGATAACCAAAATCATTTGCTGCTTTGAGGGCTCCATGGAATGTCTGTTTCATTGCTTCCTGTAAGTTGATGGGCAGAGAAAAGAATCCTCACCAAATTTTGTCATTACTAGATATAAAATTATTTGTGAAGTTAATAAAAGCGAAGAAATCTGAAGCACGCTACAATGGTAAACCCAAAACAAGCCAACTCAACTTCACTAGTATCACACTGACATGATGTTTGCAATTTCAATACTCAACTATAAAAGATATTTTATCTTAAATACACACAGTTATCAACAATTGATTATTACCAAGGTTGAGTTCGTCTGTTTTATAGCTAAATTCACTGCAGGGTACATGAATACATGGCTTCTACTGAAGCAAATAAGGGGTAATATAGTTCCAGAATATGTCCAATTTGCAATAGGGGTGCACGTTGCATTGTGGTAGTATTAGCAAACTGATGAATGCTACTCTAGAATATCACACCCTTTAACAAAGACAAATAAATAAATCTTACCTGTAATTTAGATTTAAAATCCTCTGGTGACCAATGCAATACATTACACTCACGGTTTAATTCAATTTCTCCTGCAACAACCTACAATTAAGTGTGTCATGGAATAAGCAAATAAAGTAATATTATAAATAGAAAACATCAATCAAAATTCATGCCAATATGGATGAATAAAGACGTGTTCACAACAATCTTAGCTTTACTGTCCACCTTCAAAATATTTGGCTATTCCAGAAATAATCTTTGAGACCAGTCCACAAACTAAGAGGTCTCAAAAACTTAGCCATAAATCATCATCCTAAATGAGCATATCTGGCATTTGCTGTTAAAAAGGTGACTCCTGTTGAGGAGAATGCACTAATTTTTCTATTGGAATTTGCTGCTATTTCATATAACCCTCATAATTTATCGTCAATTTTCATTTGCATCTTTGTGACAACACAAAATTCACTTTCTATCAAAGTGAGAAATTGGTGGCTCTCTTAAGTCTTAACCTTTGATAGCATCACATTCCAATACAGCAGATTATAAAAAATCAGACATGGGCACATTATGCTTTTGAAAAATGCCTATATTTACCTTCATAACAATTGAGGTTTTAATCATTCAAATCTAGATTTTCATATTCTTCTTACGTCATTATAGAATTGATTTCATGAACATTACTTTTGTTCATGAGGAAAATCAAGCCTATTCTGAATTTGCCTACAAGCAGACGAAATGATTAAACCTATTTATACTAATGAAAATTAATTTCATCAAGAAGAAGGATAAAGTGAAGATCGCACCCCTCCAGAACCAGCAGCCATGGCAGGAGCAATAAGAACATTAGCCTTTTTCAGCACATCAACTGCTTCAGGAGTGCAAGGCATATTTGAGCCTAGAAGATCACAATAACACATAACTATTAGCTAATATAATTAGTATTAGTATTATTCTTCGGGATGGAAAGATGTTAAAATTGTTTGCGCTTCATATCACAAACTACTACCTTCTACAAGTACACGACAACCTGAATTAACCAAATTAATGGCATCAGCCTCATTTTGAGAACCACAGGGAGTTGCAACATCACACCTTTCATTCCAAGGTTTTGCTTCATCATAGTACTTAGACTGAGCATAAGTCTTCAAATAATCTCTGCATTCTCCAAAAGTATAATAGCAGCTCTCAAGAGTCAGTAAAAGAAATGAAATTTACATTTATGGAAATGATAGTGAAGAAAACACAGCTCAAACTTCTTTGTTGAGCTCGGAGATCCCTCAAAAATGATATTTTCATATAATCAAATCCGTCCTCATCAACCAAATATCCCTTTGAATCTGTGCCACATATCGGGCAAAGGCAAGTGATTAAAAGACGAACAGCTGTCTCAACTAACTTTATTTGCTAAGATCTTAACTAAGATGAATGTGAAGCCCACTTTATTAGCTTGCACTGAGGCTATTATACATCATATAAGTTCCTAAGAATAGCATGTCCAAGCTTCAGTCCATATAGTGAAAAAGAAAATATAATACACCAAAATCACATCAAACAATCACATGTATTTGTATGTTCACTATCCTGAGGATTGTTTTCCTAAATCAACTTAAAGGGTAAAGAAAGTAAGTGATGAGCTAGATATTAAGCAATGTAAAAAGAACTTCTTGGCAATAAAAAGAAGAGCTAGGAAAAATGAACTTGAATATGATTTTAAGGCACTTTTCTGAAGCAAAATAGAATGACTAAGGACCTTCATGTACATTAGAGAAATACATGTGATGAGCACCAGGTTAACATGATTAAAACACTTGCAAACAAGAAATAGACGAATTAATATCCTTAGCTCAATGCATCAACTCCTCGTGCAACCACAACTGTCAAGAAAAAGGCAAAAGTAAAAAAAATGCAAAATTGCTGTGTCTTCTGCAAGAGAGCTCATTTGGCGTCAGTATGAGCATTTTTCATTGAAATTAGTGAAATCTGCACTGTGACAATCTTTTAAGCTAGAATAATAATGAAACCAAAGGAATTCTATAACAGTCAGCACATATCAAGTGCACAGCGACATTACAACTAATGACCTCTCCGATGTATCGGAATGGAGAATTACCTGATACTGTAATGGGAAGAGCACCAACAGCAACAAGTTTTTCCAGAACATGCATTGCAATCTTTCCAAAACCGCTTACAACACATCTGGAGGAAGATTCAAGAAAAAATATATTCATGTGAACAATTTAGTCAAACAACTAGCAGTAATGGACTTCAATATTGTGATAAATCTACTTTTTTGGTATATCAAATGACTAGCAGATCTTTGAAAAGAAAAAAAAAAAAGACCATGAGTTATTAACCAGAGAAAATTCCACATTTTTATATTTGCACATATTAGGAAAAACATTAAAAAGAACTACGAATTATAACTCGAGGCAACAATATGCTTTTAAAGTCTAGATAATAATAAGAACAAAAAATAACCTCAGTCCTTGGATATCTTTATTCAACTCTGCAAGAATAAGCTGGGCGAAGAAAACCTGCAGAAGCAAGTGAACTTTATCAAGTTTCAAGCTATCAGAAAGAGATATATACATGGAAAGAATTGCAGTCACTATAAAGACAAACATTGTAACAATGAAATAGAAATAGAATCTTTCAAGGATACAGACGTACAAAGTCAGGCATCCATGCATTCGCCCTGATATTTAACTACCTACCTACTCTGAAATAGCATTGAGTAGAGATGAGATATTAGTTACCAGCTCATATGCAGTTGCTTCAGTTCGAAGACTAGAACCTGACCAAAATAACCTTGGTCCTGTAAAACTTCCCTGCATAAGTAAGGAATAAAATGAAGACACCAAGACCACCTAATAATTTCATTCAACATAATTCTTACTAAATAACTTAAAAACTCATAGAAGTAATATAGAGGAAAATTTAGGAATTGTTATAACAGTTAATATCCTTAAATGACATGTAGGCTGCAATGTCTACAAACAGCATAAATGCAAGTCTTTAATTTTTTTAGGAATAGATGGTAGCAGAAAGTGACTTGCAGAAATCAATACGCACACAGACAATTTTATTTCTAAAATTACACCTGCATCTGCAAACACGAACAGATGCGCTGAAGTGTCAGAAAAGGGAAACTTTCAAAAACACACATACACTCAATGTGTAGGTAGGTTAAATGTTAGTTTACCCTCTTAGATCTCATAATTTTCGAAATAGAATATTTAATTTTACTATACTTTCTGATTCTACTCAAATTTTTGAAGTGCAAATGACCATATGCATAACTTGACAGGTTTACAGCAAGGAGCATACCAAGAAACAAAATAAATCCATCTTTTCCTAACCTTGTGTTAATCCAACAACTATGAAGAATTTCATCCTTCAAAGCTCCCATGACTTTAGGCCCAGTGACATGTACCATACAAAAAAAAAATTACAAGAGAAAAGAGGGTATGGACCTTAAAACAATTCAAGTAATCGGGAAACTATTAGCCCACAGCAAGAACTGAAGAAGATGAAAATAGAAGTTTAAGTCTTAAACTAACTGAAAATGACCAGCTA